CCAAACTGAGCCCTGATCCGTATCTGATGGTGAAACAGCACGCCACCGGCTGCAGAGATTCCAACCTGTGTGATACCAAATTGAACATTCAGGCTGTCGTGACTAGCAAGCAAGGGTTGAACGCTCTGACGCTCATACTTGTGTACACCCCGAAATACTGTTTTCACCCACAGAGAAAGAAGCTCTTTTAAAACACAGAGTTAACCAAGCTTGTATCTCCACCACTAAAGCCAATACTCTTCCCTTATCAGAAACAGCCCTATCTGGCAACCGCATCCATTAGGGCCGATAGTGCCATTGATCTTCCCACACCCAGGCCAAGCGGACCTCAACCACCAGGCCCTGAAAACAAATCCAATTTTAGGTGTTATATGCTCCTCCTACCCCTACCCCCACCCTCCTCCTCCTCATCCATCTCTTCACTCCCTCCTCACTCCTCGCTCCTCTCCTCCTCCTCCTCCTCCTCCTCCCCCTCCTCCCCCTCCTCTCTGCATGTGCAGGCTAAACTCTTCCACCACCACCACGGCCATCACAACACATTCACTCTCGCTGTGGCGAGGCTTAATAATAAGACCGTCTCTCCTGCTCTTCTGTTGCTCGCTCCTGTCATCGCCTCCTCCGGCAGGCCGTAAAACAAACTCTGCCCCCAGGCCTATAAACCCCATTATGCTGAGCAGCACTCCTGCCACCAGGCTGTATAATCTTCATCTCTAGCCTATAGCCTCCCCCAACTGGCCCTTAAACTGGTCCGCTGCCTTTCCTCATGGTGACAACAGGGACAACCAAAATGCCACACATCCGGCACGTAGCGGGAGCATTTTAATCTCAGGCTGCTGTTGCTCTGACCCAAACCACTTTGCAGTAAAGAGCAGTCCAACAGCTGAGGCTTTGGTCATATGTAAAGATGTGGTCATGGATATAATAAGTAAGGTTAAGTGCACTTAATGTGTTTAATTCCATTATTTTAATGGAAACGATATAAATCTATATGAGGCATGTTAAGGGTAATGTCCATACTCGTGCTTTATATTGAGATGTTCAGTGCATTTAGTTTAGTTTGTGATTTCCGCCTTTGTCCTAATTTTGGATTTTATTTGAATACTTTTAATACTTTAGAATAAGTATTGGAAAGTAATGAAACTATTGGTTTTGGCAGTGACATTCCACATCCCACATCCCTCCAATGGGACCAATTTTGTCTCGGGATGCCCAACCAGCTCCCAGGATCACGGGGACACGCAAACCTCTCCACCATGTTTCTCAGAGGAGCATGGATAGGGTGAGGGGATCAGACGTCCAGAGGAAGCTCGGAGTAGAACACGGGGTAGACGCAGAACACACTAGACAGATTACATATCTCATCAGGCCTGGGAACGCCTTGGGGTCCCACGGGAGTCGAAAGCGTTGCTGTTTTACGGCCTAGAATGTCTGGACTACCTTGCTTAACCTGTTGTAACTGACCTGACTCTGAGAGAGAACTAATGGCTGTCAATTTATTTTTATTATTTATTATTAGCTATTAGCTACTATCACACCACCAGCCACAATTTATTTCAATTAAAAGTAGGTCTATAATTTCTATTGTCTGTTTCTTTGTGGGATACTTGTGGGCAGTGTCTCTACACAGCAAATCAAGCCATTTTGTTTGCATGTCTGGAGTTTTAAGTACTTCAGGAGGTCATTTGTCCACTGTCAACTTTCTACATACTCAATACGTAGTTGGAAATATTGTGTGTATGGAACCCTGGGCTTTATTTCTCAGAACATCTTTCACAAGAACCTGCCAGAGCTTGTTAGAGTCAGCTGTGGGGTGCAGGTGTACGACGAGCGTTGCTGCATTGCATTTTGGTCTACAGAGACGAAAACATCAGTCTCTGGAGGTGTAATTGGTCACCATAGGAAATTTAGTCATACATTTGGCAAAAAAAAAATTCAACATTACTGTGCAGATCCAGACAGAATAAGCTTTAGTAGGAAAAACGACTTTTTTTTTTATTGATGAACTTCTCACATTCCACGATCCTAATTGGGGTTTGCCAATCAAACGTTGGCAATGAGGATCAGAACAGTAGTTTATTCTCATCTCATGATCCACACTGATGAATGCCGTTTGCAGTCTATTTGTCCTGACATATTTGATGCACTTGACATCAGGATTTTCCTCAAGAAGATGAAGTGAACTCATGAGGAAATGATCTCTTATAATGAGAAATCCATAGTGTCTGAGTGTGAGTGGATTTGGGGGAAAGTTCGAAAAAAATGCAGTGTTGTCCTGAAGTTACCTCAAACTGAGTTTTTGATATAGGTTTGTGTGTGTGTGTGTGTTTTCTCTCAGGAAGAAGCGAATGTTTTTTTCTGCTGTCAAACAGTAAGGTTCTCCTCAGAGGAAAAGCAGCACTTGCAGCTCAACAGGATTTGAGTGAACTGTTACCATAACAAGAATGATTTTCTTGTAAATCTGTTTTTTTTTTTTTTTTTTATAATTTGAAAATAAAAATCTCATATTTGTGAGGGAACATAATCTTTGGAAAGCCTGCCACCCATAGAGAACATGTCATGGCTCTCTCTGGGTGCACAAAGCCCAAATGGCTTTGATGGCTCGTATCAGCAACCCCACTTCCCCGTATTCCCACAGTACCTCATGACACCCCGGGGGGCATGATCTCCAAATCCACAAAGCACATGTAGACAGCTCCCTTCACAATGTAGGCGTTGAACATAGTCCACTCAGTTTCAGTTTTCTACAGCCCCCCCCCCCCTCAAGAATGATGGAAACATTTCTCTGGAAGTGGGAGCTCATCTTGACAGGGACTTGGGCGTGTCCAGTTCACCCTCACTAAACATTAAGGTTTACCGGGTCTGTCCGACAGACCTGATACTACTTCAGGCATTTGCAAACTGCCACCCTGTGCCGAAGCACAAACAACAGTCAGAGCCTTCCTCTCAATGACAGATGCAGCCTTCTCATTATCTGGGGAAAACTGGAACACCACGGCCTCAGTCAAAGGCTGAATACTAGTATTTCCAAACTTGCCTGGCGCCAGCACCTCCTTGTCTCCTAGAACATGTTCGATTGTCCTGTTGGAGTTGGGAGTCAATTGCTGCCTAAAGTGAAGGGATTTGACTGTCACAGGTTTTGTTTCAAAAGTGATGATCTCCAGATTACAGACCCACTCTGATATGGGAAATGTGGATCTACCAGTGGCTGGAGGAGATGGCCAGGTAGAAGTACATGTACTATCATGCTTATGTGTTTTTGTCATATTGTTGGCATATTGTTTTACCTGCTGTAATTTTATCTTTTTTACAAATTTGTTTTAACTTACTGTTTGTATTTTTTATTGTGTGTCGGACTTTCTAAATGACTGATTTTTAATCCTGTTTTGTTTTTGCATCAGCTGCTTTGGTGCATCTACTTTTGTTATGTTGCAAATCCAAACTGAACCAAGTTACTCTTCTTTGTTTAATCAATCACACATCCATATTTCTAGAACCCGAGCTGTTGGATTTCAGCCAAAGGCCACTGCTGGTCGATAATCTGAACACTTGCAGGTTGACACGGGGGAAACTACGACTGGATGAGATATTAATGTTGAAGGACTCTGAGAGGCTAACACTAAACCTCACTTTAAAACTCATGTTTCAATTTAACATCATATTGTCTTCATTTGGACAATAACTAGTCCACTGCAACACGAACAGAACCACTGAGCTAATGCATTAATCACTGAATACTTCTTTATGACTATATGCACAAATGGGGGTCAAGTGAATTTTGTATTTTAAAAAAACTGAGGATTTCTATTAGTTTTCAGAAATTCTACCTTTCTTTTCTATGTCAGTTTAAGATTAAAATTCTCATCAGATCCTGGTTCTTTGATGGAACCACAGGTCACATTTATTATCCATTTAAGGTGTATTGTTCTTAAGTTACTGTGTAAAAGTGTATCATGGTGGGGAAATATAATGGAACTGATGGAGGCCATATACAGTGAACAGCATCAGGCTGATGAGGCTAAAGGAAAAACATAAACTAATGCTTTTCTTAAAGTAAAGCCAAATGACCATCAAAACTGGAGGCTAGCCACCATTTTATTTACCACTACTGTTCATCATACGGACCTTTTTGCTGTTAATAAAAGAGATACTGAAAAACTTATGAGCTCAGACAGGCGCTAATAGCTTGATAGTGAGATGGAGGCAGATAGATGGAGAGAGAGAGCGAGTGCGAGAGAGGAAGATAAAGTGAAGCTAAGCCGGGCTCCGAGGGCCGGCCAGTGATTAAGGGATGGGAGGGATGAACACCAGCCACTGAGGGACTAGTGTCTATCTGTGAGAGTCCATGTGAAAGCAGGGCTGAGGAAAAGCTCAGAAACAAGAACCCACTGTCACGGTATCTTAGCAACCGTCTCTGTCTCCCAGGTGACGGGGACTGACATCACTTCCTGTTGGTGAGAGTGTATGTGTATACACAGTGTCCAAGTGTGAAAAAAAACAGCACCAATTGATACATGACTGTATCATGAAGGTGTCATGTGTGAGGCTGAGCAAAGTTCACGTGCGTCTCTCTCTTCTCGTGCGCGCTCGGCTCAGCTCTGCAGCTTCAGCACCAATGTCACCATCAGGTACATGACGGGATTGTGTTTGCTGGTGTGCAGGGTTTGACTTGAATGCATTGCGTCCGCATGCCAGGGTGCGTTTCGAAAGCAGACCACGGCATATATGTGAAGTCTGTGCCATGTGCGCATGCGGTCAGCCTGATTGTATGTTATGCCAAAGGAAACATGGCCAACTGATGCCATCTGGTAGGACTACTTGGCACAAGGGGGACTCTCTATGGTTCCACGACATATTGGAGTAGTTAAAATTAACACTGTGACACTATTTGGCAGAAAAAGACACTGAACTATCTATTACTGTGTCTATTCCAGTCTCTCTCTCACCTTCAGGGTCCATGCTGCATTCACACAGGGGGGGGGACGACGACTCTGGCTGTATATCAAATGCACAACATCACCATGTATGAACAGAAAAACCTCCTCACAATGAGAAACAACTTCTTCAGTTGTCTACGCTTCATTTTATTGAATCCTCCCTAAACAACTTTATCAATAATAAAAAAAAAATCTAACAGAAAAAAGAAAAATCTGAATTTAAAAGGTAAAAAAACCATTTCAGTTTTAAATGATAAAATGTAAAAATTATAGATGAGTAGAGTTTCCAGAAGCACAACATAACTGACTGTTTCCACTGGTTTGGCTGCATCCAGGGTGTAGCATGAAGGATTAGCGTGCTGCCGGTTTGACCATTTACATGAAAAACTAATGCTCGCATTGTCTGCCCCTAATTAACTTCAGCTGCTCAGTCCGGTAAAAAAAAAAAAAAAAATCCAGAAGAAACTACTCATGATTCGCTCCTTAATTATGTTGAACATTTGTAGCAGTAAAGCAACAGAGGGGATGTATGTGTCCAAACTGGGAAAATAGCTGCAGAGATTCAACTAAAAACCCTGTTCTTGAGTCCACAATGCTCAGTTAGATAAGGTCCATGAGGATTTCATCCTCCATGACACTGGAGACCTGGGGCATCCCGGGCTGAGGCACAGCTCCTCTCTGACCTCCAGACATCAGCATCTGACCTGGACACAGGTTTGGGAGGGGGTGGGGAGTTGAAGAGTTAAAGAGAGGAAGAGAGATTTATTAGAGGGATTCTCTTTACGATTTCAGGGATGAAACTAATGCAAAAGGTCAAAGAGACTTCAAGCAAGATGGTAAACACTGATTGCTGAAGAGAGCAAGGTGAAAGGAGATTCTTATATTAAAGTATTTAAATAGTTTTTTGAGGAAATTAAGTACAAATAACCTGTCAAATCACAAAGAGTGACCAATGACTGACAAGAGGCCTGAGAAAAACAATCTGCACTCGCGTTGGTCGTAACTCATCTTCAGTGCACCTGGTGTTTGTCTGAATGGAACCATATTCTGGCTATGAAAAGGAAATTAATTTTTCAGTGGTGGAAATCTTCAAAGTTGGAGCCTCGGAGATCAATACATAAATGTACCAGAAGTTCTGCAAACTTTTTCAAATCAATGTGCACAAAAATAATTGACGAATTGAATTTGAAAAATTTTGGGCAGCGTGCACTCTGGGATGGAATATCTAACTCAAGCAAGTCTCTGTAGGGTGATGTCTGTTATACAGACACCTGCATGTGGAATTGGAAAACACATATTTAAAACTGGTAACATAAATAAATGAATATATGTGTGCTTTGGAAAATATGATGTAAAGTTGACATGCATTGCAATAAATAGGATTAGAACTTTTCTATATTTAACTTTGGATGCCTGATGCTGTCGATGTTGTTAAGTTTTTATATCTGTTTAGATATCAACCTTTTTGTCCTTCAGGTACATTTTTAGACCTGTATTCTGAAATTTCATGTCTACTTGAGTCATAAATCTTTCCACATCTGTGGGGGTGCTTGCTGACCTCCCAAGGGCTGCCTCCACTGGCCCTGCATTTGAGCCCCCCCTCCTGGTGCTGAATGGACCAACTGCTGCCCTAAACCCTGGTGAGACATCATGCCTGTCATGTGAGACACCCCTCCCTGCTGCGAGGACACAGAGACAGAAGAGAAAAACAGAGTAATTACAGTCACTTGATAATCAATGAGACATTTACTACAGGGTGATTCAGTCAAACGGCCATTTGTTGCTCTCTTACTGGCTGCTGCTGGCTGAGTAGGAGACTGCGAAGCTGTGGATTGGCTACTGGGTTTGAGAGTCGCAGTATGGGACCCTGAGGCTGGGCTTGTCCACTCTGTGCGACCTGGTTGGGGGGAGCGCCGCTGACCGGCGGCTGTTGGTTGGACGGTCCGGCTGCTCTCATTGTCATCTGAGGGAATGCACAGGGGAATGCACAGTTTAACCAGCTGTGAGGTTTGGTCACATTACATTTCACCCAACGTATTGATCAAAGCGTTCACTACCTGTACAGTGTAGAGCATTGCTATATTTGTAATCTAGTAGTGTGACATGGTGATGAAAGACTCAGCTGAATAATAAAATCTACATTTACAAACAGCGTGCAGATGTGTTTCTATTGGCTGTCCAAGAATTACCGCTTGGTCAAAGTTGAATAGAGATCACCTTGACCACTGTGTATGCTTCAACAGGAGTGAATGGGAGATGGAGCAAATTTCATGCCATACACGAATGCAATGAATGAGTTGTTAAAAAAAATCTGTAGATTTTGGTTACACATGATGGATTTTTCACACATACAGTGACTTTAACGTCACTGATGTATCAGCCACAATCAAGAATGTGAACCGGTGGCTGCATCTAGGTGGGCACTTGTGGAAGTGATAATAAAAAAAATGACTCACATGTTGAAAATAGGAGTATTTACCAGCTTAAGGCTGATATTAGTGAAACTAATGTCTACCACCTGTTAGATGGCAGTAACATAGCCTTTGAGGACAAACAGGGCAGACAGCAGTTGTATGATGTCAACCATCATGTCTCGACCAGGTCTGTCCTTCCTGTTGGTTTTGTGGTGCCCGTCACCTCATGCTCAATACAAACACTTCCTATTCAAAAAGATACACAAACTTATGCATGCATGTTTATCAGTGTTTTGTTTTTTGTTTTTTTTGCACCAGTGGCATGCTGCAAGAGGAGCATTCAACAGGGAGCTGTAAAGTCAACACATGCTGACAGGAAATTAGCTGTGGACCTGCCTGATGTTGAGCAGCGAGATGAATGACACTGTGTTGTGATTTTAATGTGTTAGAGTATGTGTTTCAAAAGATATACAGTATGTCCACAAGAAAGACTGGAATTGATTTTAACATTTAAAATAAAGAAAAACAAAGCAGCTTGCTCCTTATTTCTGGTCATTTCTGACACTGTAAATGGGCAACATAACGACAGTGTCGTATTGATAAATCTGTGATGTGCTAATCTGTGTAGTTCAGTGAAACCTGTCAATGCATAGCAGAAACCTATAACAACTAAATGTATGACTTTAAAGTACCTGTGGACACCCTGACCACATGTTGCTACTGTGGGTCTCACCATGTTGCTCTGCCTCTGCTGCTCCTCCATCATAGAAACCTGACTAACAGGGGGCATGCCCACCACCACAGACTGGACACAGGACAGATCAGAGAGAAGGAGGGGAGGGGGGTGGAAGTGTGGAAAAAAAAAACAAAAAAAAAAAAACAGAGGAGGACAGCGGAGGAGATTGTTACCAGTAAGGCATGCAGAAGTCAGCAGGCATCGCGGCAGTAAAAGGTGTCAACAACAGGCAGCGAGAGAGGGAAACTGATGTGGAAACACAGGCAGACATGCCAGCACAGAGCGGGGTTATTTACCTGCTGCTGGACGTTTCCGTGGGAGACAGGAATGGGACCAGGGGGCCTGTTAAGGAAGTTCTGGTTGGGGGGGACCTGACCAGGTTGCATTGGACCCCCTGCACCGCCCAGCTGCTGCATTGAAACAGAGAGCATGAGAAACAGCAGTGAGTACACAACATTTTATCACCTTTATCTATCAACTCAGTATGCACACTACTCTGCCTCACTTCTATACTCATTAATGTTTCAAATATGCCCAGCAAAAATAGTTTTAGGTGACTGTGGCAAACCACTTTGCTCTTAGTGTCCACAACACTACTCAAAGGCGGGGGAGTGTTACACATCCATAAACATTCAAACACACGGAGATGCACAGTAACAAAATGCGCCGTAAAATAAATGAAGCATTGTTAAAACAGAGCAGATCTTTGGTTAAACAGGTTTTTTAAACTGTAAGCCTCGGCACAGAGATGACACTGTATGAGGTGGATAAAACATGTTTCTAAAAACAACAGGAAGGTAGGTAGTTTGGCCCACTGACCTGGCCTGCTAATCAACACGGTCAGCAGTTGTCTTATTGTGCGTGCCAAAAATCACACTCCTTCTTGGAGTTAAAACTCAGTCAGATCTATACATACGGGTATAATACACTACTTTTTAGATTCAGTGTAACTTACACTTTGTGAGGTTAACACATCTCTGACGTTCATCACAGCAGCTAATAACTAATTTGGCAAAGTGTAAAAAAATAAACACTGAAGAAAAATGGGCCTCAAGTTGCAGCTGCAAGCTAACTCACTGACAGCACTGACTTCATCCCCCAAATTATACCAACTGTTTTCGAAACAATAAAAATGATTATACCACAAACAGAAGTAAGACAAAGTAATCAACTGGGTATCTACAAAAGTCTTTTTAGTACCAAAGTCTCACTTTGTGTTACTGTCCCTCTGCTGCGACTCAGAACTAAAACACTCTGGAAGTATATCGACAACAGTAAAAGATTTGAGAGAGCACAAAACAAATTCAAGCGCCGTTCAGTCTGCGAGTCAACATTTGAGAGGGCGCAGCTACAGATTTGAAAGAGCAGAATTAGATTGGAGCGCGAGGGGAGGGCAGAATCATGAGCGTGACAGATGATCTGAACATGCATGAAGAATTGTTTAACTACATTTGAGCCAGAGACAGGCATTCTCACACTTGTAACGATCAAAGATGCTTGGATTGTCTTTTGGCGGTCTGAATCCCTGAGCGTCACCTCAGTTCAGTTGGACTTGGGAGTGAGGGGTCATCCTGTTTGACCTGTCCTTCTACTGTTAAAATGTAAGCTGGGAAGTGGCTTTTTTTTAAGCTCCAGATGGAAACAAAGAGCAGTATCTGGTGAGTGTATTAACTTATAAATTAAGATGCATTGACACTAAATGACTAAAACCACATTCAATTTGTCATTATCTATTTTTTAAGTCATTAGGGCAGAGTAATATTGAAAGTCAAATTCATTTAAAAGTAGTTATAACTTATAATATTGTAGTGGAGGTGTTGCTCCATGTTTAAGTGTACAAGAAATAAGAGCCACACACCCACAATTACTGAAATTGTAGGCTAAATGATAAGGACATGCCTTATTGTAGGGATAAAATATGTAAACAGTCATATGGTTGCCAATCGCTCCTTGCAGAGGACCAATGTATTTTATTTTAAAAAGCTGAATCATCAAACCTGTGAGCAGCACTTCAGTCCAAATAAATGAATAAATCCTACAAATTCAGATATTTATACTGAATCCATAATCTATGTTTACAGTCAACATATTTGCAGCATGTAATTGATGTTTACTGTGTTAACAGCATTGAGTGTCAGGCTGAGTCTGCATATCCACTTCCTTTGTTCAACAGTTTGCAGAAGGAAAGCAAAAACAAACATGGAAGATGATGATACACCAGTGGAGATTTAACTTCAAGCACCTCCTGCTGAGGTGTTTGCTATTCTGGATTTCACGGTTTAAAACAAACTGAAGATTGATGACTAAAGCCGTCGGCAGTCTGGTGTGTGGAAAGTCATATACATTATCAATCCGCAGTTAAAGGCTAAGTAAGAAGAGAGGAGGCAGCCTGTTGCTTTACCTGCCAACAGATTCTGGAAACAACTATATATAGGTTTGGATTATTCAGATTTATATTCCAACTCTTACACCTCTCCCTGAAAATATATACACAAAATTCACATTTTATTTGCACAGTTATGTCCTTAAAAGGAAGGAATCAGAAAAGACAGAAAATCGCAACATGAGACTATTGACAACTGCTTTAAAAAAGGCCAGATTTGATACTGTCAGCAGAGCTGCTGAGTTAGCTCTGCAGGTGCTGTGGAGTAGAGTTGGCCACTATTAAACCTTCCCCAAATTTTCCTGCAGTTTACAGTATTACTGGCTGATTAGCAGCTGATTAAAAAAATCACAGTGTAAGGCTTTGAGGGAGCCGCTACTCACTGCTACACTATTTCCTGCCGTAGACTTCACCTGTGATTTTCCATCTTACGTTACATGAACATTCTTAACGTGTCTTTATGTTCATTCAGTGTTTCCTATTAATTACCTAGATGGCGGTCCGCCACTTTAATTGGTCCCACCACAGTTTCATAATGAACTGAAAATATATTTACACTTCTCAAAATAACATAAAAGATGTTTAATGCTGTGTTGTCTGCCGTAGCTTCACTGTGGAGTTGTGCGTGGCTCACACACACACACACACACACACACACACACACACACACACACACACGCATACATTTTAATGTCCCTCTCCATCTCTTTACCGGCCCTCTGTGTGCCTGTCATTCGGGGTCCACAGAGCACAAAACTGTCATGTGACATGTCAGTATGGTCGCCTTACAAAAACTTTTGTCATCACTTTCATAGCATCCTTATCCACACATACACATGGTGCTGGACAAACACTATAACAGCCTTTTATGGCCTATATATGCACACATTGCACAGCAGAATATTTTCATGATGGTAATGAAACAGACACATTGCTATTTTTCAAATACTGCGGGACACAGGTATTATTGCCGAACCTTGCTGTGGAGGCTTGTGTTTCCTCACTGAGACAAGGACAAATACAGGGTTTTTCATCCCTCCTCTAAACCAGCAAAGAAAAACGTGATGAAAAAAAAGAAAGACAGCTTCATTCATCCATCTTGTTGAATCTGAACAATTCACCCAGGGATTGTGCTAATGCATGGTGTGTTTTCTGACCAAAATAAGAGTGCAAGACACAGGTTTAGGTCTTTTGAGGGAAGTAACAAAACAGCTGCCTCTTTCTCTCTTCTACCATCTATGATTTATCTCCTGTCTTTAACCCAGTAACCGCTAAAATCCTGTATCAAGATTTAGAGCCTATATCCTCATTTCAGGGAAAAATATTCAATTCTGTCTTGCCGTGAACAGAACAAACTACAATCTCGTTCCCGAAGAATGCCACTCCAGGGCTTTGCACAGGGAAACCTTAACTACTGGTCCAAATTGAAATTTTAATTACGTTAAGATTGCTGTAGCGCTTCCCTATTAGCAATGCAGCACTGAATATGTGATGATACACAAGAGGTAGGAGAAAAAATCTTCATTATAATTTCATGTCTTCTCCCTCCTCTAAATGCCCTGATGTTCATATACACATGATTCCAAGTTACATATAGGGTTGATGCACTTTTGCAGCGACATAAAATTAGCAGGTAGAGTAAACAAGTGCTATCACCACTGATGAGAGCAGGCTGCAAGGAGAAGTGTCGTCCAACTCATGTAAACCTGACAACAGGCTTCATTTTTAAATGGAGGCATGCTGCTTTCTCTTGGACTGGATGCTGCATTGTTTCACAACTGTGCAGAACCTCTCCTCACTGGATGCAATAAGCTTGAGTGGAACCCAGTGATGGAAAAGACAGCTAATCCAGAGGACACATTTTAAATCACCCTGTCTCCGGGGATGAAGATGAGCAGTGAGGGAAAGGGAAATTTCTATGTCATGTGGACAAGGCAGCAGCATTTGTAACCTGTAATGAACTCTGCAACAAGAGCTGGTCCACATGGTTCACCGGGGCGAGAAGGAGGGGACTTGTCCCTAGATTTCCTTATTCTGTCCTTAAAGACTGGCACACACCACTGCACACACTGCCGCCACTCCATCACTAATGTAATGTTAACATCTGGAAAATTAGCATCCACCAGAACTTTGCTTTGTTTAAAGCTGAAATCTCACAACTTTTTTCAAATAATAATAATTATCAAATTATAGCAAAGGTGACGGAGAAACTAGTGTGAATACTCTGATTTGATGAAGCTGTTGTTGTTGATATACACAAGAATGAATATGAATATATTCTTTAACTGCTGTGATGACATTACACTGCATGGGTATTGTGAAACAAGACAGGTGTAATAGGACTATGGCTGCAACTAACCATTATGTTCATTATTGAGTAATAGGACTATTTTTTAGATGTTTGGTTTATGAATGTCAGAAAATTAAGAAAAATGATCGTGAACGATTGTGAACATTTTCCAGCATCTTATGTGGCATATTTAAAGTGCTTGTTCTTTCTGACCGACAATCTAAAGATTCTCAGTTTACTATCACACAGGACTAAAGAAACCAACACATTTCACATCTAAGAAGCTGGAACTATTTTGGCATTTTTGCTTAAAAAATGAAATTAAAATAGATGGTTAATTGATAATCAAAATGACTACTAATCAATTTTCTGTTGTTCAACTAATCAGTCCAATCATTTTAGCTCCAAATATGACCAACAAGCCAACAGTTCCCAGTGTAGTAAAGGTAGAAAGGTTTCCTACCACAGGAAGTGTGCCATTTCTAGTGTTTCACCCCCTGGGATGTGTTCAGTGGTTACAAAGAACATACACTTGGTTGTCAGTTTATTAGGTAACACAAACTGTGTAAAAGAGGTGTTGAGTCAACTGTTCAATCATTTTGTATCTGTTGCTGCTGAACTGTATTGCGTTAAACAGAGAGGTGTGTCTGTTTATCCATCCTTCACTGCTTTGTATGAGGTAGAGAAAATGATAAAAAACAGATGTAATCCTTAATTTCTGTAGGTGCTGTCATTTGAACCTGTTATTTGCAATTAAAATATATAAAAAAAAAGCTTAAAAGCTATCAAGCACTAACAGCGCATTAACATAGTATATTCAGCATGAGCAATAATCTAACAGTGCACAATGCACTGTGTTTGGGTGATGATTTTGTTGTGGATGAAACAAATAAAGAGCTCATATGTATTGCACCTATATTTCCCACACTTAAGCAGAGATAATGAGGTGGGAGTACAACAGTCAGCTAATGTTCCAGTAGGAATTTAGCTAATGCTAGCCCCATTAGCCTCTACTAGAGTGAGAGACGTTAGTGGCTGCTGTGAAGATACTGGACTCGCTAAATGAAATGTCAATAACAATGCACCTTAATGCCTTAAACAATGCACCTCAATTCCCCGGTGCGCCTCTATAATGCCTCCTCATTATCACCTCCGTTTGGTCTTCCGACTCCACATATTCTCTCCCACACTGAAACCTTCCCTCTCTTCCCACCGGCTCCACTTCCTCCTCCTATCACCACTCACCGCTCTGTGCTGCTGGACCTGCTTGTGGTTGGTGATGACTTGCCGGATGCCATTGACGAAGCCGCTCTGGTCGTTGGGAATGAGGCCCATGAATATTCTCTTCTTGGATGAGTAGAGCAGCATCAGCACCCGCACTTCACAGGGTGAAGTGGTGTGGGGGAAGTGGACGCAGCCGGCCTGCAGGGAGGGTCACAGGGCAGATTAAGACCTTGACATGGGACACAGGCGTAATTATGGGATGGGCTCCGGCACGGGGACATGACCTACTCCTGAGCTCCTTTGCGCGATCAAACATATCGGTTTTATAAATTGAATGCAAATGGTATTAACTTAATTCATACTGTGCTTTCCCAGGGTCGTAAATCAAATTCAGGCAAAGTGGCAGAGCTCAGCTGGACTAAATACTATTAATGCCTCTGCTATTTCTCAATGGTATTACCTGATTAACAATGCACCACACTGACAAAACCCCTATCATTATGCTAGCCTTCTGCAACTGAATCAAAACTAAACAATTAAAGTTTTTTTGTCTGAACTGATGGCAAAGCATCTTTAAAATCCTATTATCTAGCTTGAAAGTGGCTAAATGTATGGCCTGGAACCCCCTCTACAGTCTTTCCTGCAACACTGCAACACAGCTTCATGTTCAGTCCATCTACTGGACAGAGGTGGGACCTGCACTCAGTTGCCACTCATGGAAAATGTATTGTGTCACACTGAATGATGTATAACATTAGGGACGTGGAGGGAGCACATATTTAAGGCTCAGAGAGAGGTAGAGTGCTTGAAAACTTACAAAACCATTGGCCATGATGCGATACAGGCCTTTCAGAGATTCCACGTCTTTGTCAGTGAAGAGAAACTGAACCATTCGGGAGTTTCTGAAGAGGTGACCTAAGGTTGTCTACAAAGAGAGCAGGCGAGAGAGGACTTAAGTTATGCATCATTCATAAACAAAATCACTGCTGGAGACAGAAGTCGGCACAGCACTTTCACACACAATAGCATAAAAAAAATGGTCTCACCAGTAACTGCTGTGGAATCAGCTGCATGATGAGCTTCTGTGGCCACTGGTCTGTGTTTCTGTTTGGAGACACAAATAACATGGCAATGTCAAATTGTGTGTTGAAACAAATCCTCTTAATACAGACGAGGCCCACAGTGTTTATCTGGCTACTCACAGGTTTTCTCCTTGGTTGACATGCACTTGACACGGCAGAGAACGTGTCAGTTTGGTGGTTGAATCCATAGATGAGGCTTTAGGCTTCTGCAGGGAATTAATACAGGAAGCGGGGAGTGGGAGGGGTGGGAGGGGTAGGGGGGGTACAGAAATAAAAATTAGGAAGTGAGAAAAACACAGAGGAGCAAAAAAAGCAAAAAAAAAATGAATTACTTTCAACACATAATTTTAATACCGGGTTCAGACTTCATGATATAAACCTGATAAGAGCCCGACCTGACAGATGTTGGGCACTGGGAACGAAAAAGGGCATCAGGCGCAACAACTGATCATTTTATCCTGTGTAGTTTATCATGGTTGACAACGACCGACACCGAACGCCTCGTGACAAACAAAATTTTTTACTGTCTTCTATTGTAAACATGGTAATGAAAGAGGAATGACGTTGTAGTCGCTGATAGGTGCAACTGTCGAACAGAGGAAAGGTTCATGGAGCTATGACAACAACACCCCTGCCTTTGGTTGGGGACCAATGTGTTCTCTGTTGTTTCTCACAGCCAAGTCACAACAAGAATTTATGCCTCTATGATCGCTTACACAATGACTATCTTATCAGAAAAAAATATTGTGCATTTGTCTGAACCTGGTATATGATGATTCACACCACTAGATTTTTAACTTTAAAAAAGGGACTTGATGGTGCACCTCCTACCTTGGAAGCACAACACTCACAGTCCCTGCAAAAGTCTTCGTGAAGGTGCCGGAAAGGATTTTCAATTTTCAAACCTCAAATTCAGGAGGCATTGTGGTCAATATTCTATTCTCTCACAAGTAACTGAAGGGTCATGAGTTTTTTTTTTTTTTTTATCTCCATCTATAAGTATTTTTTAAATCTGAAAAGGCTTGTAACTGCAGAGTTGCTGCAAAATTATGAGGTGAGTTGGTTGGTGCTGTGATCCATGAGTACCCACTATATTCCTGGCAAAAGCTGTGTTCACACTTTTACATCAAAGCTCAACATTTCCAATGGAGAGAGGGTTGTGAGAGTGAGTGAATCTCTAGATTATTTCTCTGTTGTTTGTAATATTTATTGACAGGATATCAAAGTGCTGCTAAGGATTGGTGACATTGGAGTGGCACCTCTGCTATTTGTGGATATCATTGCCTTGTTTTGGGTGTGTCTGACTAGGACATTCAACGTTCGCTGGAGCGGTCGGAATGAGAAACAGCACCTGCAAGTCTGACATCATGGTTCTCCCGGTATAAGCTTGATTGCTCAATCTAGGTGAAGGAGGAGCAGCTGTCCCAAGTGAGGAAAGTCAAGGTATTCCAGCTGTAGCACCAGTGGCTGTCTCTCTGTCTATGTAGCAAATAAGTTCAGTTGAGGGCGTTCAGCTAGGGATGCCTCCAAACTGTCCCTTTCTGGAGGTGCTATGGGATTCAAAACCCAGTGTGGGACACCAGGACATGCTGAGGGATTACATCTTCTTACTGGCCTGAGAGCAGTTGGAGAATATTGCGGAGGAAAAGGACGTGTGGGCTGCCCAGTTCACCTTCCTGCCACAGCGACTCCAATCAGGACAAGCAATTAGAAAATAAATGGATGGATGGACTTTTAAAAATGTACAGATAACCTGTTCTTTAACAAAATGTCAAGAATCAAAGAAAAAAGAAACGACTTTCCAAACACATCAATGCAGCAATTCTACTGGGAAAACTGCCAGCACTCTTCATCTCCAGGGCATCAATAAAGGATCAATGATCAATCAATCACATTTTAGTCAGGCCTACTGTAGTCCTGGGGCTGCCCATTACAAATGTATTGGGCTAGGCTTTCTCTGCAGACAAATGGGTTATTTATTCCCAGAGCTTGCTAAAGCAAGAGGGAAAGAGAGGCAGGTGTGTGGACAGTGATAGAACAATCCCGTTTACACACATCCACCTTAAATTGGAAAAAAAAAGTTGGCGAAACCATTCTGGAAACTTACCCCACATTTTAGATGACAAAAGCTTTCCAGAATTAACAGATTGAAATTCAGCCAAAACAGAACGCACCATATTGATAACACTGTACACAGAACAAGCTCCAGCCAAGTGAGTTGGCATCCTTTGTGAGAACTTTTAATCAACAACCATTTCTTTAAATGAGTTTTAGTGTCTGTGGTGTAATTCTTCTCAACATAACAGATTACACCAGAGAAGAATCAGAGCTGAAAGCCTGACAAGAGGAAGTAACAAATTAAGAGCAATGTTTCATGCTCCTAATCAGTCCACGGGTTGTTTGCAAGTTTCCTGAGGTTTTCACTTTTATTCCTGTACATTTAACTGACTTTAACAATTCTTACAAACAGAAGAAGGAGGATGAGATTATAGTCGATAGGGGAGATTGATCAGAGTCTGTTCACCAAACACAAACACTTGAAGGCCTCATGAGTGTCGCTTAAAAGCCATTAACATCCATTTTCCTGCCTCAGCACTGCAACTGTAAACTAAATCGATTTGACCTTGAGCTAAGCCGATAGCAGCAGGATGGTAAAATGATGTGCAATTAATCACAGTGTAATCAATGACAGGTGGTTATTAAGACGTACTACCATGATGATAGGTCCTAGACAGTGGTGATGATCACAATATGTTGGGCAGGGCAGTGGTTACCAACTCCAGTTCTCAGGTCATGCCAGTTTTTATTCCAGCTGTCTACTACAGGCAGATTTACAGCTGGAACACCCGGCCAGAAAAGTCAACTACAACAATAGTACGATGTTTCGTGAAATATTCACTTTATTGCTGAGAGTAAGGTGAGAAGATCGATACCACTCTCTTATCAGTCTGGTAAATATATAGCTGGAGCCAACAGCTGCTGAGCTCAGCTTAGCATAAAGACTGAGAGCAGTCTTAAGGTAACAAAATCAAACAAACAGCATAGACTTGATGATTAGGGCTGAATAAAAAAGAAAAAGAAATTTTCTGATTAATTGTCATTTTTATTTGAATTAATCAATACCGATTGTTAAAATCCCAATCATTACATTTTCTCTTCTAATTAAACACACATGATAAATATTATGTGTTTGCATCGGTTACTTTCAAGTGGTTCAGTTAGGGCTGCATGATGTGTAAGAAGTCTACCTTCTGAAAAAACGAATTATTACAATGTGCACAAAATTATTATTTTAAGTTGAAAAGTAAGGTAGAATGATAGCTGGTTATATGACCTGCCCTAAGTCACGACAATATAGAGAATAATTACAGGTTATGTGGACCATCTCATAGTGAGAAGAGATTGCATCTGCGAGACAGAGATATCAGGCTGATGTCTTGTCAACACAAACAGCGCACATGAATAATACTATGTCAACATATTCTGATGTGAAATATGGAGAACAACAGGGCTCTGTTCTTGGCCCTCTGCTTTCCTCTCTTAATATTTCACCTCCTGGCCAAATCATTCCTAGTCTTGGAATTAATTTCCACTGTCCAAGCTGGATGTTTTTCGGAATCTCCAGCTATTAAATTCAGATAAAAATGAGATGCTGGTCATTTGCCCAGCCCGACTTTGACATCAGGCTGATCAAGTAATTTTCCATAGTCTGACAGCTAAAACAGCCAACCTATATATCACAGTTAAAATTATTTTCTGTCTATGGCAGATGCTGAAATCCTACTTCACGTCTTTGTTTCATCAAGACTTCATTATTGTAGCATTGATTCCTTGTTTTCTGGCCCGCCACGTACTAGTACTAAAAATCTTCAAATGGTTCAGAATGCTGCGTTTTAACTGAATCCACATTACACCAATTTTTGCTTCCATTCATTGGCTCCCTATCCCTGTCACATCACATTTTAAGTTGCTTTTAATGATATAAACTTATTGCTCATTCATACCTGTCTGATCTCCTTAAACCTTATATTCCATCCCGTGCTGTGCGTTCTCAGAATGTAGGGCTCCTGTCTGTCCCCAGAGTTAAAAAGACATCTGCTGGCTGCAGAGCCTTTTCCTAGCAGGCCCCCCTGCTCTGGAACAACCTCCCTGCTGACATCAGACTGTCTGACTTCGTTCAGGCCTTCAAATCCAAACTTTTAAATCTCTTAACACCTTAACTTTCAGTTAGCACCTTATTCTTTTACTATTCCAGACTTGTACCGGTTACTATTCAACCACCGACGGGTCGGCCACAGTCTCATTGAATCAATTAAACCCAGTATACACAGTATAGTCCATGTTGTCCTGCCGATGATTTTACTTTAAACTTTCTGAAAACCACTGCATCTCTCTGACTCTGTTTGTTTACTCTGTCAAGCACATGAGCATCCAGGCTGTGCACCTTTCTCTCTCTCTCTTCACACATTCCCTCTTAAAAGGAAGTATTCCTTCCTAACATCTCCAGCTACTTGTTCTTGTTGGGAATTGTTGGGTCTCTGTAAATAAAATTATAAAGAGTACAATCTAGACCTGCTCTGTGTGAAAAGTGCCATGAGATAACTTCTGTTGTGATTTGGCGATATATAAATAAAAATTTACTTGATGTGAATTAGTCAGTAGACTTTCAGTTTCTGTCCTGTCTGTGCTCAAACTGATAACTACAGTAGATGTGCTGTACTTACAGTGCTACTGACAGTCCATGTGTATCTGTATGGGATAGCTTTTTTCTTAAAACTAATATGCATAATGATGATGCCCTTGTAAGTGGTGCTGTTTTTTTTAGTTTTTTTTTTATTAATCTTGCACGTGCCTAAAAAAGACATAAATAGTTTTGTATTTGACGAGGAAAATGAATCCAGTTTTATACCTGGGAAATGTGGTTACAATTCAGCCTATAATGTGTGCTTTATGCAATCTTATATTCAAGGAAAGCAACAGTGTTGTTCACTAGTTGAATATAGTAGACATTTATATTCCCAGGATAACGTCTGAGAAGTGCTTTACACACAATTGGTATTCACCTGATGTAACTGAATCATCAAGACCGGAATTGAAATGAATCAATTCTAGACTTTGTGAATCGAAATTGAATTTGTAGATCAGTGCTGATATCCATCCATATCATGGTGTCATTGCGTCTAGCCAAGAAATACTGCAGGACACGACCCCCATAAGAATACAACTTGCTGTTACTACGACTTCAAAAACACATAGAAACCTCAACAAATGACGTGATATGACGTGTTAATTAGTTAGCTTTAGAGGTGCTGGAAGACAGAGCCTGTTTTCATCCTTTAGGCTATGCTAAGCTAAGCTGGCTGTGGCCTCATATTTACCATACAAACATGCGACTATATCAGTGTTCTCATCTGAAGTAAACTGAAGGAGCCTATTAACCACAATATTGACTATTCATTTAACCGACTTGCGTCCTCTGAATTTGGAGGACTGAAGCTGGGAACCACTGAACTCGATAGCTGAGTTTTAATCCTAAATGCTGGTCTATCCATTTTGGAAAAAACAGCACTTGAAATTCAGTCGTCAGTACTACGACTGGGGATTCTAATTAATGTGTAGGCAATGATCTGAATAAAACTTTCAGTTTTGAAGAGTTTCTTACGTAGCTTCAATTTGCAGCTCTCTTTTCAGGGCACCAACCACTCTGTCAGAGTGGGAGTCATTTTTCGCCCAAAAGGACATCAGTTTAAAATCAGACTCTCTACTGAGTGTTACCTCTTGCCACTCAAGAACGCCGGTCCATGCAACAATCTTATTGGCCACGCCTTGCTGCTGTCCAATTGGATTTGCATTGCTTTGAGGTCCAGACACACCAGGCTGTCAAAGCAAACGGAAGAGCAGGGGGTTACATGTTGCTACAGGTGCAGTTTAGGAACAGAAACTTTACCTGTCAGAAATAGAAGTGCACTTGTCAATTTGAAAAACAAAGAAAACACAGACTAAATGATGTTTCCCACTAAGTTGGTAATATGAAATATGTAATTCTGTAGAGCTGATTAAACTGGAACATCACTAAATATTAGATTTGGCTAATTTTAGACAGTTTCATCTATATTAAAATAAGACTCACAAGTATGTTCTGCTTCCAGGAAGAAGAATTAATGACTGAATTTGAAAACAGAAAAAACAATGAGTGTACCCACAGTGATTTTCTAGGGAAAAGGGAACATCTTCTGGTTTTGATCTGATAGTGGTTCTAACATTTAAAATTCATTTTGATATTAGACTTCACACAGTGTGTTAGTCTGCAAAGTCCGCTCTAGGCTGCTGGTGATACAGCATCACAGATTAAAGTCTTGGGTCTCTGATTTCTAAATTGAGCAGGGGCACTTACATTTGAAAATATCAATATGATTTAAACATTGATATTGTTTACAAGCGGGTGAGAATAGTAAATCAAGTCTTCGGCTGAGTGCCGTGGGACAGTGAAAACTCCACAGAGTGTCAACCATGATGAAACTACAACAAATATAATGAAACATTATTCAACACAAGGTTAACAAACATTCCCCCAGTGAGTGACAAGTTAACTAAAACATGCCTCATACTGCTTTGATGCTAAGGGCCCATGTACAACCCATGACTAATCATTTTACCAAATGACCAGGGTTAGGTGTGGACATCAGATCCACTGGCAGGACACCTAAAAATGTGGACTGACAACAGCTCAGCTGATGAGATATATGATGCAGTTACCTAATCTAGGATAAGTGAGAAGGATAACAAGGTTTTCAAAAAAAAAAAATTCAACATGGTCCTGGAAGTGAACTGGAAGATAGCAGATGTTCCTGTTTCAGCAGTCTGAGCCAATCAAATCCTGCCAGTATCTTCCAAGTTGCTGACTTTTTAAGTATAAAATTCCCTCTTTGTGTTATTGTCCCTCCACCACTGGTCAGCAAGGAAACACTGTCTGTGGCAACACAGAGGTGATCTGGCACTAAACAGACATTTAGACAGATATCCTCTTGATTTGTCCAACTCTAATGCATTTTTGTCCAGAACAGGTACAGCAGGTTTAGTCCCCCATCTCTTACACTGGAATTGTGTTAGGGAGAAATTGCTTCATGGCCAGTATGGACAGGAGGAATGATTACAGTAACCAATAACTGTTTTAATGTATATATGGGTATGTGACTGTTGTTCTAAGACAAACTTTAAATAATGTAACCCTATCCTCTGAGGCTTTGGTTTTAGGTTCTGCTACGTGTTTCCATTGTGTTTTACAACAATGAAATGGTGCAAAGTTTAAATCAAACCACAAGCCAGCCAAAACAGGCAGGCCAGGTATTCTAAATCAGAACATTAAATTAACATAGTAAATTGAAACACACCTCCTTGCAGTGTTTATCTAAACATATGTCCTGTGTTGGGATCCCTGGGTTCACAACTTAGCATTTTTTGCCTGGAGGCTACATGGCATTTTGATGTAGTATTGGTCTCCTGAGCAGTGCTGAAATTCAGGTTCAGGAAAGTTGAAAAAAAAAAAAGTAGAACCCATAACAAAGGCTACATATCAAGTTACGTGCTGTTAAGTTGCTGTGGTTTTAATTTTGGTTTTACAATAGTACAGTAGTATAACAATAGTATAGTTTCATTAGTTTCGTATTGATTATTGTCACATCTTACCATGTTGGGCTGTGCTGATGGGGCTGTGGGCTGATTTGCTGTGGGCTGCTGCTGAGGTTGCTGCTGCGGCTGCTGATTGGGTGTAGGCTGTCCTGGGGGCGGGACTGGCTGTTGCTGATTTGGAGGGACTTGTTGCTGTGACATCATAGGCTGTGTTGCTGTAGTGACCGTTGATATGCTGGGTTGACTGAGCTTCACCCCGGGGACTGAGGGGATTTGTGGTTGACTGGTGAACGGGGGACCTTGATTGACCATTCCTGGGACTGGAGGTGGAGAGAGAACACAACAACAACAACCTGAACAGACGCCACGTTTAAGAACATACAAAGAACATGACCATTACACGGATAGAGACACTATAAGTTATCCTTGACTGTAGATTTATTTTGGGTTACTGTTAATTTTTTACTGATCCAAAGATCCTATTACTATCACTGCAGGTGAGAGCATCAGAACAGTGATACTGTCCTAGGAAAACTCTTTTCTGGAAAAAGTGAGAGCAAGCGTTACTGTAAAACGCACAGACACAGTCACAGTACTGAGACCCTGCAACTAAAACTTGGCTAACATAAATTGTTCACAAAAGGCCCACAGAGTCCACTGGTAACTCACAGCGACTCTTCTGGACGTTGGCTGCCTCCACGGCCATCTGTGCAGCCACCTGAGCAGCAGTCATGGAGGCCGGATTCTGTCAGCAAGCAGATTAAAGGAAGACAATGCTGGGTAAAACGTTTTAGGGAAGGAACATAAACACCACTGTCTGAAACTGAGCCAAAAGCAGGCGGCAGGAATTAGTCTCCAGGCAGCCTTATGCTGTATGGCTGCTTGCCCATTACCTGATAAGGGTGGGTTGTGTTAATGGGTGGAGGGGGCTGTGAAGCTCCAGGGAGAGGCTGAGTGACAGGCAATGACTGAGGAGGGAGGACAGGTTTGAGCGGCCCAGGTCCTCCACCTGAGGAAACTGGAGACAGACAATGGGAGAAGCTTAGAGTTTTTACACAGTCCTGCAACATAAACTTGAGACTGCTCTGAAGCCCCAGTGTAGGAGGACAACAGTGCCTCGCTTTAGGTGAGGAATGAGACGTATTTATCGAGAAATTCTTAACTACTCAAAGAAAAGTGTAGGGGTAGCCATAAGGAAGAAAAGTTTTTATTTACAACTGTTGCAACTACCACAAACTAAAGACTGACTTCATCTTACAGCAGAATTACGTGACGTTTTTAATATTTCCAGCAGCAATTAACACGTTAAATTAGCAACTAGTATCTTAAAACCAAATTAGCAGGGATGTGATTATAGGAAACTGGCCAAAATGAAATAAAAACATAAATAGAGAGGAGCTTGGAGGAGAATCTACTGCTGAAAGAGGAGGCACTGCAGAGAAAAAATAATAAAAGGGCAATTTAGTAGCTCACTGAAAAGCACGGCCGAAAAAAAAAAAAAAGAAAAAGATGAATGGAAAGAGATAAACAACATTAATGCCAGCTTTACTCTTCACTCGCTGCCTGAAGGAATGCAAAAAAAGTAGTGTAACATCCTATCAAAAGTGTGTCTGGAGATAAGAAGCTTACAAGAATGCAGATGCTACAGCTGAAACTATAAAAGTACACTATTCTATATACTGCTGCACATTGTTCATCCTGAACAAGTACTTCACTGTATTATCATTCCTAAATACTCCTCTCATCTTAGCTTCTGTCTGCTGTACTGTGAGCAAAGATTTATTTATGAATATATAATATAACTTATAACTATAACTAATCCCAACCAACTCTGCAGTTCTCTTAAAGATAACATAATTTAAAAAAGAATTAGATCAAAAGACGTGTGATAAGTAGCGTGTACTTTAAAGCTAACTGATTCTTTTTAATACTCTTTTTTCTCAAATTGCATTCCCTTACAGTAGTTATTTCTCAGAAAACAACAAAGGGAAATACCAACTTTATGATAGCTATGGCATATTAGACAGGTATATAGGTACCTAATATATATATATATAATATATATAATATATATTAGATAGAATAGATAAGAATATTACCCCCCCTAAAAAAGTTAGTACATTAAGTAAATAAATAAAAAGAAAAGAAAAAAATTAAGAAAAAATAAAAAGTGACTAAAATAGGTTTAGCTCATTTTAAAATATATATAGTTGTCGTTGTGTTTATGCTTAATGGTGTAAATGAAGGAATGAACTGTTTTACCTGTGAACCACAAAAAACTCTGTGCTTATTCACAGATGATGATTAAGACTGGAGAGTCAAAAACATCAATCAGACAATATTAAGCATATTCTATCCCACACAGGCTGCTCACACAAACTAGGTTTTAACCAATGTTTCTCACCAGGAAGTGAGATGCCACGGACTAGGACCATGTGGAAGGGGTCCTGACTGTAGTCTGGATGGGGTTCAACCACCCCTCCTACAGGAGACGCCCGCTCAAACAAAGCCCTCAGAGCAGGCAGTTTCCGAGGAGCCACCACCGAGAAGTGAATTCCTTTCTAAAATAAAGAACATGAAAATAAAATACATTCAATGAAGAACAGTAATGGTGTTCTTTATCCAACACACTAAATAAGAACACTACTATACTATACAAACAAGAGCCTAAAGGAGAAAAATAAAAACTCACATCTCTGATGATTTTGACCAAGTTGTCAGCTGTGCAGCCGGTGTAGCTGACACTCTCCACAGCAGGAAGCAGATAAGGGGGAGAGTTACACAGCAGCACACACACCTTGTGGGTTTGACCTCTGGTGATGGCAGAAAGAGAGAAAGCGAAAGGCTAAGATTTTAATCACTAATAGTAAATCACCTACTGAGTCACCATATTATTATGCATTGTTTAAAAAAAATTAAATAACATGACAGAATTTGGAGGATATTTCCACACTTGTAGTTTACTGGAGCCAGCTTATGGAGGGCATCAGAGGAACTAGAGGTAAAACACTTCCACAATGGCTTCACTATTCAGTTTTGGTGCTTCACATTTAGAGAAACAAAAGTACAGTCTGTAGATCTGTTTCCAGCTACTTCAATGAAGACACTCAACAGGTCCACATTAAACAATAGGACAACGTGTCACTGAGTCACCTCACTGACCCAGTACTTTGGAGTTATCAAGCAAATAGATGACAATAATTTTGTCCATTAACAAGGTTCCATGATCATGCACACAGATTTCATTACTTTACTGTGACCAAACAGGACACACATCCAAGATGTAATGAGCTAAGTGTTATATATTTTTTAACGGAGCAATACATTATTTAGTAATGATCCCTCCATCAGAGAGCAGTGTGACTGCCTTACATTTGCTCCCTCATCTTCTTAAAGTCATCAAAGAGCTGCAAGGCCACAGACAGCCCCTCTGCAATTAGACTACAACTTTCTGCTCCACCTCCCATGAACCTGTGTGGGAAAACAGGAGATTATTTAATATTCAAAATGACATATTTTCTGTTCCGTTTTAAATCTTATGATAACAGAAAAGGCAACATTAAAATCAGGAGAACGTCTCCTTTGTAATAATTGAGTAAATAATTTATAATAAGTTACTGGATGCTGTCGATCCACGAGACGAACTCAAAGGCAGAGCTGGTTGGTGCGTGGCACTGGACGTATGACTCAGGAGCACAGTCCACTGTGTTGAACACCACAAGACCATACTGGGTTCCTCCATACTGGAAATACCAAAATACAGGAATATTTTTATTAGCCATATGAACAAAAGCCTTATTTTGAAATTGCTCTCTGAAACAAAAAAAAGAGAGAAAACACTCACATCTCCACCAAAATCTGTTTCTGCCGGGGGCCCTCCATTGAAATATCTATGGTAAATAAAATCAGATATAAAACAAAGGCATTTAAGCAAGACTACATGATTAATAATCAGTAACTTCGCAAAGGAGCGTCTTTGTGCCCTTACTCAATAGCTGGAAGTATGTAATTTTTCCTTAGAGATTCAAAGTAGGGTCCAAGGTTTGCCGTCCCTTCAATGACAAACACCACATCAGCGACTTGGTTGCTCCCAGGCTTAGTGGATGGTTCCATTAGTGCCGAACCTGCCACCATGGATCTGGACATGGAGAAGGGGCAGATTTTACATTTAATGAGCCCCCGTCCCTGCAAATCCATGAATCCATTAAGTTTTTAACTGCAATCCAAATTAACCGAACAACTGGGAGACACAAGCAGCATTATCAAAGCTTCTCAATGCTCATTAATACTGACTGTAGGGACAAACTGCTTCTCTGGGATAGAGAAAAAAAATAGTGTGACATTGCTTATGAGTAGACACCTTGGCTTTTTGAACATCACATTTCTCTATTTGTTATAGAAACAAAAGCTTCAAGCCTTGTAAATAAGGCTTTTTCAATTTAACCGCATCTTGTTTCACATTAAAATTTGTGCATTTCTATTGATCCCAAAAGAGAAAGTAAGAAGTTTCGAGAGCTAAAGTTCATGAGCACTGGAACTAGCATACTAGCTGGTTATCATTTAACCCACCACTAAAACAAATCATTAAGTCCTGCCTAATAGTATTTCAGTGCGCTGTTGAGTTAGAAAGCAAGCAAAAGAAAGCAAGAGCTTTCTGTACGTCCACAACAGCTGAACTGGACAGAGCTTTACATTTAACGATTGCTAAAGTAGGTAAACGTCCATGAACGACTTAAGCTAACACAGTTAAACTAGCCTCAACTAGCCGGCTACCATCGAGCTAGAAAAGGATGTGGACCAACCTGATGGTGTGCGGCTGTAAGTGAAGTCGTGGGATCAGTTAAACACAAAAATAGGGAAAAATGAGCTTGAACTGACAGTAACTACACAGAGCAGCTAGCCTAACCATTTGTTGTATTTTCAACGGAAGTGACGAAACGACACGCCCACAAACAGTGACGTACTGGCCAACTTCCTCGTCCTGTCTTCTTCTTGCACAGAAATGGCGCTCCGCGGCGGAGTGCTGCCACCCACAGTTTTAAGCCTTTAATCACAGCAGGTCAGCAACTGGTTTCAACCAAGGGCCAGTACATTTCAGCACAGTTCGCTGGGAGCCAACGTTTTACAGGTGCTGTCCAAATGCAGGGATGTTTTTGTTCATTTCATTTACGATTGAGCTTGAAGTAAGCCTAAAATGCTAAATAATAACAACAACAACAACACTAACGACAACAATGATGATAATAATAATAATAATAGTAATAGTAATAATAATGATAATGATAATAAACTTTATTTATATAGCACTTTTCCAAACAATTTCAATTTCAATTAGTCATAAAAACAAACAAAAAAAACAAAACAATGTTGTAAACCACACAAAACCATAAGGCAGATAAAACCAACAGGGATAAATAGCAATCTTATAAAAAACACCAGCCAATAGCCTACAAGTGGGTCTTTAAAAGTTTTTAAAAAAGTGGTACAGACTCAGCTGACCGGACAGCGAGAGGGAGGCCATTCCATTGGAGCTAAAACAGCAAAAGCACAGTCCCCCTTTGTTTTGAACCTTGACCATGGGATATTTAAGAGCAGTTCTTATAAATTCAGAAATATAAGAGGGTGCCATGCCATGGAAGGCTTTGAATGTAATCTGGAGCATCTTTAAGTGAATTCTGAAATGTATGGGAAGCCATTGAAGTTGGACCAGAATGGGGTGATAAGCTCTCTTCGTTTTGTGTTTGTCAAGAGCCTGACTGCTGTGTTCTGAACCAGTTGCAATCATGAAATTGCAGACTCACTTCAACAACAAAATAGGGAGTTACAATAATCCAGGCCAGAAGAGATAAAGGCATGGATGACACTGAATAAATAAATTGTACATTTTAGTGTACAAATTGTACACTTGCATCATAAATGTTTTATTGAATATTTGTTGGTATGGTCAAATGGGATAAAGCTGTTGAATTTTGTTTCATTTAAATGGAATGACTGATATTTATCTTTCTTCATCTTGTAGGTTCATCTCTCTCTCTTAATGTAGAAAGAGTGTTATATTTCTATCGTTATCTACAATAAATGAAAGTGAACACCACTGCTTTTGTCAGGGGGGCAAAGATTTTTACAGAAGGGTCAGATTTGGCCCACAAGCCGCTATTTGCCTACCCCTGACATCCAGTATCTTCTTTTATTGGGCTTAAGCATCGAAGAAATGAAAAGCAGTCTTCTTCACAAGTTCGTGTTTGTGATTTATCACCATGATAAGGCAAGCTCATTTGTATAGCACACTTAAGTACCGAGGCAATCCAAAGTGCTTTACATGACACATGAAAAGGTATTGCATGAAGACAAAATATAAAGGAAACGAAAAGCAACACGATTTTAGTAAAATTTTATTTTAGTAAAATAAAACATAAGATACAAAAGTGAAGAAACAGGGGCATAAAAATTACTGTGCAGTGACAGTGCAGTTCAGGATATGAATGAATAGTCCCAAATGTAATTAAGCATATGGCGGTGGCGAACTGAAATGCTTTAAACCTCAGTTTTAAATAATTGAGAGCTGGTGCAGACCTCAGGTTCTCTCAGAGGCTGTTCCAGATATGTGGTGTATAAAACCTGGCTTCATCTCTGGGGAGTAAGCACACCTCTCCTGCAGATGACCTGATGTCTGGATGGTTCATAACATTGCAGCCAATTAGACATGTGTTTTGCCCCCAAGCCATTCACTGCTTTATAAAACAACAGTAGTATTTCAAGACTAAGTATTTGACACACAGGAGGGCAGTGCAGAGGTCTGAGAACTGGTGGGATGTCTTCCTCTTTCTTGAACTGGCTTGTTGTCTCATCGACTTCTTACAGAGACCTCTAAAGACAACATTAGTAGTCAAGCCAACAGAAGATAAAAGGTTTTAATGGGGTTATCTTTGAATACAAGTTGGTCAGAAAACAAATTTTATTAAATTGCAAAATTCCACATGTGCAGGCCAGCTGTACCTAACTGAGATGACAATTTCTTCCTGTGCATCCAGTGAAGTTTATTTCAGTTTACTTCTATTGAGCTAACCGCTTCTTGTCAAAGAAGTGCATTAGTCAGTGCTGACACTGAGGGTGAATGAAGCTTGGAGGCACAAGGTCATCACTGAATATTATCTTGGATTAAACCGCCAAACCTCACTCTTTGCAAGTCCTCCACCAGTGGCATTAGTCATTAGAAAGGTCGTCTGTTATCGTATCTGCCTGAAATCCATCTAAAGGCCATCCTGAGGTGGACAGGGCAGGAGGCCAACAGAGAACTTTCATCAAGGGTAAAACCGGGAATCTATATAAGACTTTTAAAATCCTAACTGACTATGAAGAGAAGGCATCACACAATTAACCGCTGACTTTTAACAGACTGCAATGACAGAAACATGATGTTCAGTTTTGCTCTACTGACCAAGCTCAAGATCGTGTTCAGATTTTTATACATTCTTGTTATAAAAATCAAACTAACACTGGTCTGACGCTTCGCCTGGAGGGAAGAGAAACCTGAACATGTTCCTGGCATTACGTGAACAGCAGCAGAATTGATGCTGCTACACGGACCTGCTAAACCCCAGCACCTTGCTGAGTACTGACCTTGAGCATGTCTGTTGCAGTGAAAGCTGAGGCGCACCATTTAAGCACCGGCCCATTCAGGACAAATCCCTTGGAACGTGTCGGCCTAGAAATCATGCGCGCAGCCTTAACACGTGTCCGTTTGTTGGAAGCAAAAGCACGATTCGGACTCGTGAGAGAAATGGAGGGATTCAAGAGTGAAATATCATAAACCTTTGACTGTACTGTGTGATACTCTCTGATCACCATTGTTCTGTTGAGCGTATTCTTTTTTGTATGTTTGAAACAGGAAAGAACGCTGGAGATTTTCAAGTGCTGTTGAGCCAGATCTCCAGGAGATGTCAGCAAATATCTACAGTAAGTACAGTAGACATCTGCTCTTCATCACAGAGACACTGTTACAGATGGAAACATGAAAGAACATCGCCCTCACTGAGAGCCAGAGAGCCTTGAGATGGATCTATGTATAGTATGTATATGTTTAGACTGCATAATGCTACTTAATGGAAAAGCTCCAGGGACGACAACCAACAACAGCCCTTTTCCTCAGGAACAATTTCATCTGACCCTTCTTTTAATTATATTTAAATGAACAGAAAATGTGATCTGATACTTAGAAACACCCGGCTTGCTTCAGGCTTGGCTGCTTTGCAGTTTCCCCATCCTATATAACATTTTCTCTACAACACTTGCCCATCCCCTCCAAAGCCTCACTGCTGAAAACAAGAGCATAATTACTACAGCAGGTATCAGCAGGCTAACCTGCTGTCAGGTGAGCACAATACACCAGCGCCTAACCTGTAGTTGTAAGACAGCAGCGTACTGTTTCTGTGGGTCCAACAATAGCATCTACTCCCCTGTGGCAATGCCAGGCAGTCGACTCAGCACAGCGCACAACAAAGGGCTTCAGAGCTCATCAAACTCAGAACCTCCCACAGAAACAATGCTACATATCAATTTAACCCCAAATTCTAGGAAGGGCAACAAGCTGTGGACTCAAGCAGCTTTTCAATTTAGGCATCAGTAGGCAGGGCCGCTTCCGGCAATCTAAGCAAAGTTCATCTGAGGAAGGGTTTATGCCCAAGGCAAGCCTGTGCATCCAAACATTAACCCCCCCCGCAGAGCTTTTTATTCTGACTGAGCATCGTGGCCAAATTAAACTGACAGAATGGATCATGAGTGTTTGGGTGTGTATGTGTGTGAATGTGTCTGCGTAAGCTAGCCTATACTCTGCAACCCTGATGCTCTCTGCTGCTCAGAGGGATATATACTGTGTGTCTCGCTGCTTTGAACTTCAACACAAACAGTGCCAGCAGTTGCCGAGCAATTACAGAAAGCCTGCTCCCTGGGTCTGCCTTTGGAAAACTACACAATGTTTTCCCTTTTTTTTTTCCATTTTGTTTTTCGTTTGGTCAGAAAATGACATAATAAAATATGAATGAGAAATATGGTCGGTGCTGTGGTGCTCTATGTCTGCGAGGTCCAGGTGGTGTGGTAAAGACAATCCGTCTCCTGACCGCGGTACCCAGCTGGGATGCTGAGGGCCAGATGGTCTGCTCACAACAGGTAATCACAGCCAGCATGCTGATACACTGACATCCACACAAATGGGTTACCAGAACTACCCAGAGCATTTGGGATGCTGTGATAGTACCCTGCCCTGCCAGTCTCTGGGGCTTTTTCTATTGAGTCTAGCACTGGTGCTGTGCCGTCCATGTAGTGAATAATGAACAGAGCTTAAATACAGATTTTTTTTTACTTTCATTTCTTAAATGGCAAGATTCTTTTATTCATTTTATAAAGAACCCCACATTCAGAAATTCCTTTTCACATACTTCATTCGGTACCAGAGATGTAATGTCAAAAGATGTTTCACAGAAGTTTCTGTTTGTAAGGTGAATATCATTAAGTTGTGCCTTGAAAGTAATTTACAGAGAAGGTCAGATCCTGGGGCCCAGGTCCTGTTTTAATACACTGTTCCCCTGCAGAGGCAAGCGACTTTAATACTCCTCCTGGTTGAGGTTTCCTCTTGCATGCATTCATTGAATTCATTATTTTGAAAGGTTTGGGGTATTATTTATAGTGATGGAATAAAATGTTAAAAACTGTGTACGTGGCATAATAAGGGGGTCTTGTAAGGAGTGCCTTTTGCGCAGTGCTTTCCAGATGAGAAAGCTAAACTTTGGAGTCCCCGTCAGGAAAAGGTGGTGCAGGTAATGTGAATTTTATCATACATAAAGACATAGATTCAGATTCATGCAGATGGTCCTGTTAAGAAAACTACAAGGCCAAAGTATCACCCAAAGCTACTGCATTCATCTTTAATGAAGCGAGGGAGTTCATTATCATTATGTATAATAATCAGATATTAGCAATAAGAGCTAATGCCTTGCTGTCAGCTTACTTTAGATAAATCCCTCCAGTGTGATACAAACAGCTCTATATTGCACACACCTCCCCCGGTGTCTAACTTGCTCCCCTCCCCACCCTCCCTCTTTGCCTCTTTCAGCTCACTGAACTGAGTGAAATGTCTTTCCGACTAAATGATTTTTTTTTTTTTTTTTTTATTGCACGGTGGAACGTTGCCATTGGAGACAACAGCCCCCCCCCCCCCCCCCAACACACACACACACACACACACTTTCCTCTCTCAACAGTCTACAGCATTAAAGCTGTGCTAACTGGTGCGCTGTCACATGTGTATGTGCGCGTGATCGGTGGTGTGTGTGTGTTTCCCTCGTTCTGAACCGTTAACACTGTCAGTATGCTGCAGGTGCCCCACGATGAGAGTGTCTATATACAGAGCTATCCTCCTCCACCTCCAGTCTCTACTTGTACGCACATCCTGCATGCAGCTATCTCCTCTCCTCTTCCAGGTTTTCCCATTCGTGTCCTCCTCCTCCTCCTCCTCCTCTTCCTCCTCCTCCTCACTGGCTCTCTCTCCCGGTCTTCATCCTCCTTCGTTTGTTTAATCCTTTGCTACTCCTCCTTCTCTGTCATTCCCCCTGCACATCTGAGCTCCAGTCTTCTTCCTCCTCTCTATCTGGCTTTTTTGCTGAAGCGCTGGGGCTTGCAGATTGCTACTGGTGGGCATCTTCGCTTTAAGGGGAGATAATAACCACATGACAAATAATATGAGTGTTTTAAAAATAAAAGGAGATGAAACACAAGCAGGGGGCCAGATGGAAGAAAGCGCACAGGGCAGGCAAGCCGTGCTCCATTTTGCATTTAGGCAAAACGCGGCCACAATAAAGAATTCATGACAAAGTGGCTGAATAATTACACACGATTTAATGCACAGCAGAAAGTCAGAGAGCTTGGTAAAAAAAAAAAAAAAAGTTGGGTTCAAGCTCCTTCTGTCCAGGTAAAGTGTCTTACCTTCCATGCCTGAGTCAAATATAGACTATGTACATCTGAAATGCTCAGGGCTTTGCATTTTATATATAGCACACCGCCTGGAATGTGTGACAGTAGCTCCACCACTTCTTCTGCCTCCCGACCCAGCAGATTAAAAGAAGACAGGAACTCGAGGCTGGATGATACATATCCTTTATTTCCATTATCATTGCTTCAGTCACACTGTTACTTACACATTCACCGACATCCTGCGACCTGGTACAGCTGTCCTGACTGAAACAATCGCCCCTGACTGAACCCCTCACTCACAATTCTCAGCATTAACCAATAAAAAAGTAAACCTCTTGAATAAATTATATATAAAAAACAACTGAAAATCAAAAAGAATACCAATTCGAGAAAGATAAATACAGCATAAACAATGTTATTTCATCATTGTTGTTTTTGACCACAGAGATAAACAATTGCTAGGTCTCCATTTAGTCGTCATTAGTAGTATTAGTATCAAGTTCATTGTCAGATTTTGCTTAAAGCATCACTTATATAATTTTTCATTGCATCAAGTTGACATCATTCATGTTAATATAAGCATGCAAACATGTTTCCCCATGACCATTCAGAACTGCACTAACACGAGAAGACAGCGAGAGAAAGAGAATAGAGAGGAGGGAGGGAGGAAGGAGGGAGGAGGGGTGATACAAAGAAAGAGGGCAAGATGGAGGGATGATGTTGAGGGAGGAGGGAAGTGGGTGAAAAAAATGGAGTGAGAAACGGATAGGTAAGGGGGGGGGTGGGTGGAGCGGGAGGAAAGGTAAGGATTGCTGGAGGAGAGAATGAGTAATCAGACAGTAATCAGACAGACAGAAACAGAAAAGGGAGGGGGGGGGGGTTGTAGCAGACAGGGGGAGGAAGAGAATAAGGGGATATGCCGGTTCCACTATGAGTTTTGTAATCTATCACCAGGCAGTAACACAAGGGCTAAATAGGGTAGACACAAGCAGAGAGAGAGGGAGAGAGAGAGAGAGAGAGAGAGAGCGAGAGAGAGAGAGAGAGAGAGAGAGAGAGAGAGAGGCTGGGAAACAGAGAATTATGGGGCCTCAAGACCAATGGATCAATACCATATCTACTTATACAAGCTGATCAATAGTCCCCCAGCTGACAAACCCCACAGGATACTTGCGGGTATGATGCGGGATGTGTCACCTCCCGAACACCCCATCGAGCACACCGGTAAGTCCTGCCTGCCCTGCACTTCCACGATCCAGAGGTAAAGAGAAATAAACTAGATCCCTCCCCGGAAACAAGCACACACACGCACACACACACACACACACACACACACACACAGGCACACACACACACACGCACACACTCACACACACACTCGTGTGTGTTTGCGTGCGAGAGGATGAGAGGGAGATGGCAACGATAGCAAATACAAGTAGCTGTAGTGAGGTGTTGTACTGTTGTTTTTGCTGAGGTTACAGTAGTAGTTGTAGTAGCGGTGACAGACATGGCTTTATAAGTCTGTATCGTTTTACACAGGAAGTGCACAAACTCCAGGCGCTTATTTTCTCACAACACCTCCTCCCTGTTGTCTTGCTTTAAGGGGATCTAAGTTTGTCATGATCTTTAGGCCGTAACAAATGAGCCTCCGATGTTTTTTCTTTTTTCTTCTTTTTTTTTTTTGTTTTTTTTTTTTGTTTGTTTTTGTGTTCCTTCTTGTAAATTTAATCAAAACACACCCCACAATTTATTTCCCAATCACTGTGCCATCTGTTTTTTTCCCTCGGACATACAGTACACAAATTACTGAAAGAAGTACACGATCAACACAGTTACTTACATCAGGCAAAGGGTTAGAGAGGAGAGGAGGGTTGAATGATTGGCAGCTGATTTCAGAGACGACATAGACAATACAAACTAATGTCTATGAAAGACAGTGTTTCCCCAGGCACGTATAGTACACACACACACACACACACACACACACACAAAATGGCTCCTTGTAAAGACACAGGACAGAAGACACATTTGGCTCCGAGACAAGCATTTCAGTCTGTGGATGCCAGGATTTCGGGAGGGAGGGAGACAGAAAAAGGACAAGGGAGGCGGTGAGCACAGAAACGTGTCACACACACTTACACACACACAAGGTCACAGTGACACACACACAGGCACACACACATACACACACATACATACACACACACACACACGCACAGACGCGCACGAATACAAAACAAACACGCCCACAAACACGGAAACACACACTAATAAAAGCAACACGGACGTGTGTGTCCTTCGAAAGTCTTGTCGGAGACATGATGTGGACTTGAAGAACATTTTTCTCAGTTGAAGCTGGACGATGACTTCTTGAGATAAGAAAACAAAAAAAGTCCTGGGATGATAGAAAAATAAAACTGAGTGGTGATATCCTTCCCTGTGGGTTACATCCTCCAGAGAGTGCACTCCAGACGGATGCTGGTCCGACCCTAATCGCAGGTTTCATTCAACCCGTGTAGTCCTACAGTACGAAAAGTCCGCCACTTTGGCCGGAGTTCCGGGGACGATCAAGCAGTCCATGTCACTCAGAAGCTTATACCATCTCATCCTCAGTGGACTGTAAAAAAACGGCATGAATAAACTCCTTTCCTGATGGTTATATGTATAATGTATGACACAATAGACACAGCAAAATCATTAGAAAAAATAAAAGTTGGTATTTGATGAGCACCATGAGGACTGTGACGAAAAGCATGAGGAAGAGGGACACATTTCAAGGTTGCGTAACATGCTTAGACCAATGAGTCTGTCCTCATTTTTCACTCCTCTGACATCAATAAAGACCACAGGATGCTTCGTCGTCTTTCCTCCGGCGACATTAAGTGAGATAAGTCCAAAAACCAGAGGGTGTGGAGCCTGGAGAAGGCGTCCAAAATGGCCCGGGAGAATCCTCCATGGATGTTTTGTCCTGCTAAGTACTACATGAGATGTTTTCCTATACAGTACAGCATATACTGTACATCAATGTTGCAAAGAAAAATATCGACATAGTGATTTTCTTCTTTTATAGTCTGTACAAGGGTATGAACCTTTGGTCCTGGTTGAAATGACCCATTCTGTGATGGCTTTCTTATTTTCTTATTTTTTTTATTTTTTTGTTTTTTTTGTTTTCAGGAGAGAAAAGTTTGTCACATCACACTCCTCCTAGATGAAATACTACACTAATCTGAAGCACACATGAACTACGCACATACTACAAACTCTGTGTGTATATGTGTGTGTGTGTGAGTGTGTGAGTTATGTCTGTGAGTTCCCTTGCTATATCCCAAATTTACACCTGATATGAGCCCTACTGTACTGTTTAATGTCTGCATGGGTTTGTAAATGTGTAGTCTGATGCTCAAAGTGTTGCTTGTGGTAGATGGTTTTTTTTTCCCCGGCTTGGCAAAGACAGCACAGGTTTTTGGAGGATTCATTAGCTGGAGCAAAACAGCACTAGCAGTTGGACACTAGCAGTGTCTCTGCGTCTCTCTTTCTTTGATGGAGAGAATTATTCACAGATGAGAGGAAAAAAGGAAAGTCTGGAGCTGGAGAGATGATAATGACCTGAGGAAAGAGGGAATAAGGGAGAAGAGGCAGATTAAGCAAGAGAGAGACAGCAGGGGGGCAAGAGAATATATAAACAGTATGCAGTACTGTAAGTTTGGGGGGAGGAGGGGGGGTGATGCATTACATAAGCCATAACATCTAGATTATACAGATGCTTCTGCCTTAGAGGTCCTACATCTGACAGCTCCGCAGCCTCCACTTTATCACACACTCACAGTCAGGTCATGCTTTTAAAGCCTCCACCAGTTTCCTTGTGTAAATCTGACTAGAGAGCATCTGCTGCTATGTATGTGGATGTGTACTATACTTTAAGATTCCAGTGCAGTCTTTTTACAAGCAGAAATCAAGGAGCTGCTGGATGGCTTGTGGAATGATTGTACAAATTGCGATACACAGTTGACTAGAAAATAATTGTATGTGTTAAAATCATGCTGTTAAAAAAAATAAAGTGAGGATAGGCTCACAGTTTTAATCGGAGTGAGGACTGTCCACCACGATGTGAGGCTTAGGGGAGGGTGTTGTAACACTCTTCGACACAAATGTACCAATTGCTTTTTCCTGCAGGGGAAAAACAAATGTTATTAATGTCAAAGCATTATGACAAAATGAATCACTTTTTACGCATTCTGTTGAAATAAATGAAAATTTTAATGTGATGACTTTCTTTTACCACCACTAGCCTATTGCTATTACTACCTATAGACTCTATATAAAGATGGACGCGGCCTCTGTGACTTCAGCCACAGATTTCTGAAGAGCAGTTTTGAAGCTCAGAGTGAGCTGCTCTGCTGTCGCCATCTTGGCAGTGTCTGACCCCGCCTAACTCCTGGCTAATCCTGAAATGGGCAAAGAGGTGGGGCTTTTGTGGAGCACTTTGGTGCATGCCTTCAATTATACATAACTTTAAGCTGTAATAAAATTTCTATAAAAATATTCACCCGTACAGCAGTCAAATTAGCTATAGAGACCAAGACTGTTTTTTTGTACCAGGTTGTAAACATGTTTATTTCTGCTGTAAAGTTGGGCATTTTAATATGGAGGTCTATGGGGATTGACTCACTTTTGGCGCCAGCCTCAAGTGGCCATTCAAGGAACTGCAGTTTCTGGCAATTCAGTGTTTGCTTCAGTTTTCAATCACAGAGGTTGCCGCATTTTACTGTAAAGCTCACTAATTGTATCACATTTTTTAATATGTACAAAAATGTGTAACATCTTGTTGTTTTTACGCAGGGTTAGCTAAGCTAACCGGCTGCTGGTGGCGGTAGCTTAATATTTACTGTACAGATATGAAAGTGGTGTTGATCCTCTCATCTAACTCTTGGCATGAAAGCATGTTTCCCAAAATGTCAATTGTTTCTTTAAGTACAGTTTTTCAATATGTAGTAATATTTCAAAGGAAAATATTGTACTTGCTTCCCAACTACATTTATTTGACAGATATAGTTAGTAGATACTTTGCAAATTAAGGTTTTACTTACAAAACGCATTTCGGCTTCTAATATGATTTAAAATATGATAGATTAATTACCCAACAGTATAAAAAGTAATGAAACTTTGGTGCATATACAGCCTATTCTCCATATTGGGGATATTTAATTTGATAATTATATGCATTATGCTCTTAATAATGATTTTACATGAGCACTTTTACTTATAATGGATTTTTATTTTCTATTTTGGTATTGCTTCTTCAAAGTTAAATACAGCTAATCAGTGCTACTCCTGCTACTGGACCCTTACCTCTACACTACTGTCACTACTGCTATTCTTCAAGTATCCCCTCTGCTGCTTCTAAAGATAATCATTGTATGATAAAAATAATCATTTTGGTTATTATGCCCAGCACCAACAGAAGAACAGAACATAACATATGTGGTATGAGATCATACTTGTGACACATGAATGCACACACACACACACACACACACACACACACACACACACACACACACACACACACACACATACATTCATGCTCACACACACGTGAACACATGATAATATGCTCATTACCTCCACAAGCTGATGCCAGTGCTCTATTGGTTTGCGTGGATTGGCCAGCATGGCTGCCCAGTGCTCTCTGCCTGGACCCTCGGCTTCACTGCCCACACGACACATCCCTATAACCTCGTTATGACCAATACTGACACGCAGCGAGGGATGAGGGATGGAAGCAAGGACAAGAGAGACAGAGAAAGAGAGAGTGAGAACAGAGCAGAGAGTAGGAAAGGGATGGGGGGGGGGGGGGGGGGGGCGGAGAGAGAGAGGGAGAGAGAGTAAGCATATAAAAAAGCAGAGAGAGAGGGGGAGACAGGGCTAGCAAGAAAACAGGCACGGAGGGTCTCATTTATCAACCTTGAGTATAAGGAAAAGAGTACAGCAGCCGAGGAAGGATATTGAATAGCAGCTCACAAATACACCCAGCCCCTGTATAAAAGCTTGATGTGAGCGCAGGAGCAGGCACAAGCAGAAACATACAAGAGCACACACCTATAGAGACAGCAAATGGAGGGCAGACTACATAATAGGGAGGTGGTGCATCCATACACAAACACATCAACCGGCCATGTGCTGCTGCGAGAGGCAGACAGACAACCACTGGCAGGGTTACACTTCCTCTTTCAGCATTAGCATAAATCATGACTATTCATGAGGTGCCCGTCTTTGTAAAACAGGGAACGTCCACCAGGAGGCTGACTCATGAGGGGGGGGCTCCCCACATCGTGTTCAACACAGCCGCAACACCATCAAAATGTGACGACCACAAAGCAGTAGCAAGCATCGCGCTGCATGTACAAACTCACACACACACACACACACACTCTGTAAACAGCACACTTCACAGTAATGATCAGTTTCATCTTAAAGCCCCCAGAGCATGCAGCAGTGTAACGGCAGCTCCGCTCACCAGTCATAGTCCATCACTGCAATGATGATGGATACACTTTCTATATTTTCATTGGGAATGTCAAACACCAGCGCCTCGTTGTACGTGGGGTTCAGCGTGTTCTTCTTAATGGAGGTCTTCCTCTTTTTTAGCCGTCGCCCGTCACAGATCAGAGAGGCTTTCACGTACGGATCTGAAGGAGAAACAAAGACAGAGAGGGAGAGAAAGATAAGGGAGACGGGAGAGGGGGTAAAAAAAAAGGGAGTATTGGGAAAGAAAAAAAGAAAGGGGGAAAGGGAGGTAGGATAGGAAGCAGCGAAGTAGAAAGAGGAAGAAAAAGACGGGGAGACAGGGAAAGCGGGGGAGGAAGCAGAGAGAATAAGATAAGGGGGGGACTCTTGCAAACACTGTTCGGTATTATGCTCACAGGTATCTGCGTCTGTAACACATAAAAGGCATGAAAATCAAGTCACCTTGGCAAAGCTGGATTAAGAATACAAAGGGAGAAAAGCAGCACAGGTTGAATCACTTCAGTTATCCATTCAACATGTGCAGCTCAGTGACAGCAGCCAGGGAAACACACACTCACACACTCGCACACACACACACACCCACGACTCCATTTTTATGCTGCAATTTTAAGCATCTTTCAGGCACCGCAATCATCCCAGGATCACCGTGGCAATAATAACGGCCTGTGGTCATTATCATCTGAGATCTCATTTAATCTGAGAGGACACTGCCGTAGCAATCACCAAGTCTTTAACTGAAGGGTAAATAAAGAATAAAACCTGTACATAATGCCTTTGTTAATTCAATATTAGCATTAGCAATTCTTGATATCAGTCTCATGGGTAAAACTATTGCTGTTTTTCTCTATTTCTACAGACATACACTAATGGAAACAAATTTTTTACTGCATGTTGTTTTTGCAACAAATGAACTTCACAGCCTCAGGTTCTATATTCATAATGTATAAACTCTACTTCTGTTTCTTGAAGGAAAAAAAAAAAAAATCTCCCCTCAGATTCTCTTACATAGTTCGAAACAATCAATCTTGTGATGCTCATATTCATACCAGGATTTATTTAGCAAAGATTTATAGTCATTTGCGCTTCCCTCAACATGCTTCGTCTGCTTCTCCTTCAGGTGTTGATTTATGAGGTTTTGAGAAATCACTCCCTGCTAAACCTCTGCGCGCAAACTTGTTGGTTTTACTTGCAACAAATGCAACATATAGTATCTTGTGGCTGCATTGTTTTCTGGTTTATTGAGGGTGCTATCACTGGGAAAGACTTTTTTTATTTGTTGCTAAATGGCGTATAAGTTCCTCTTCTATTTCAGGGAACTGGCTCCGTGTTTACTAGTGATGTTATATATGAGAAAAATGTCTCTACACGGCTTCTCGCCAGATCAGGAAAGCAACGCGCAACACCAATCGCTGTTATTTTTAGACAGTGTTAAAACTGTTTTCTGTCACATTTTTTTCCCTCTTAAACAAGTTTCCCGTCAGGCTGCTGCTCGCTGGAGGTCTCGCAGCAGCATGACATGTGAATGTGTGTGTGTGTGTGTGTGTGTGTGTGTGTGTGTGTGTGTGTGTGTGTGTGTGTGTGTGTGTGAGAGTGTGTAAATCCTTTACCTGAGAAGCCAGTCAGGTCCATGGCTTTGAGGTTGGTGGCCTTGATGACTGTGGCGGTGAGCCTGCCTGCAGTGGGTAGGTAACACAGCGAGAAATTAAGCTCCCCGAGATCAGCCTTCTCCTGTGGGTCAACACACACACACACACACACACACACACACACACACACACACACACACACACACACACACACACACACACACACACACACAGGAAATGGATCAGAAATGGAGCAGGGACTAACAGATATAATAATAATCTTTTTTTGATGATCGTCTGTTGCCTGGAAAGAGCTACAGTAAATCTGATGGCGGGTGACAGCAGGCGCCCTAATGTGGACAGGCGGTGTTTAGGCAGAGGGGAAGCGCCGTCACTGTAAATGAATCATACGCCAATCTGCTGATGGCCCCGAGCGGAGGAAGGTGTTAAGTAGAGGTGACGATTCTCCGGGCCTTTTTTTATATCCCTCCCTCCGCTCCCATCCACTGATCCTCTCGCAGCCTCGTGGTCTCAGTGGCACCACAGTAATGACACCGGTGGTATTCAGGTCACACTGTGGCGTGATGACTCCTCACTGGCTTTGAGCCTCACAAATCAATACTTCCCCAAGTGAAACACTGAAATACACTGAGAGGCCCGATGTTTTAAACTTATTCAATAAATGAAACGCCCATGCCAAAAAAATTTTTTAAAACTTTGCTCTATCTAATTTGCTAATAGCCGTCTATGAATATTCCATATAAATCTGCTTGGACACTGCTTGATATAAAGTTTGGATGTGGCCAGCAGTGCATTTCCAGTAATCTATCTGAGCTGGTTTTTCACTTTACCAGCCTCTGAATTAATCTACACTGCAGGCAATTTCCAGTCTGCACAACTTCTGTGCATCCTCTCTTCACAGTACGAGTGTACATCCAGGATCTTCAGATAACACACAATAATGCAAAGGATTTTTTGAGTCACATTAAAAGCAGCAGAAGGGGGTAATATTTTGGATCTTGAGAAACTGAAACCGAACCACCACGGGATAGTCAGTCCTGAAATTTTAAATACCTGCAGCACCGCACTTGGAATATTTGAATTTATATGGTTTAAATTCTTATCTCTGAAAGTTTTTCAATCTAAAAAACCAGATCAGTTTTTGAATTCTAAACTGTGGTATCTGAATTTCCCCAGTCTGAGCAAGCTGATACTTTGACTTTGACTTGAATTTTCTGATACAAAAACAACCATATAAATACCATATAAATTCAACAGTTTTTTGAATATTGAACACTCATATTTCTAAAATTGTAGAGCCCCCCAAAAAACCTAAAATCATGCTTTTGCCCAAATTAAAATGGCCTTTTGTTAATTTGCTATAAGAGGTGAACAGACTATACAACACATAGCAAAACCTGCACATTGTTTACATCTTTAAATATAACATATTTGATCATATGAGACATATGCATGTATATCCTTCGTCCAGGGCACATTCTGCACATCCTGTCAACAACAGCTTATTCTCATAGTTTCTTTATATTCTCAGATGCACTCATGTGTGTTTATATTTACCATTTGGCTTCATACTGCAATATTGCAATTTTGTATATTTCATTGTTCTTGTATTTTCTCTTTCTTCCAAGCTATAATTCAGATTCATTTTCATAATGTCACATTTCTACTTAAAATCCAGAACTGAAACTGTCACCTGTGTCATGTTCGATATGCTCCATCCCTGGTTCTAAATCTATTTCTCACGGCTTTGGCCCAACAATTTGCAGCTGCAACGGGCCCTGACATCGCCGCGAGGCTCATTCAAATTTCATCTAATCTAAATTGGGCATCTCCTCCAAATGAATGTGATCATTCTTGGTTGTTTTCTGCGGCGGCGCGTTGTCCTTACCGCAGTGCCCTCCACGATGTCCCTCCACACAGGTTTGTCCCCGCTGCCCTCGCTGAAGTCCAGCAGGTTGTCCACCACTACCTGGCCGATCAGGTCGTGCCTGGAGAAGCGGTCGAAGTCGTACACGGAGAAATGCAGCTTCCTGGAATGTAGCTCATTCAGCGGCACGCCGAACTGAAATGTCTCGTTGAACACTGGGTTTAAGGTCTTTCTGTGAACCTGAGAGAGAGAGAGAGAGAGAGAGAGAGAGAGAGAGAGAGAGAGAGAGACAGAGGGAGAACTCTTGACAACACTTCACATTAATGCCTGCAAATTACAGTGTGAATATTCTGTACAGATGGGACACCCATGTAATACTTAGTTTGGTATCTACTGGAAGGTTTGAGGCCATTAGGACAGGAAGTTATCATGAGGTTACAGAGCTTTAACATTAGGCAGTTAACAAGACACTACTCCATTTTACAGTCCACATACCCTCACACACACGCGTCACAAAAAAGTAACCTCAGCTGACATTACACATGCATGTGAAAATGTTGGTAAAACATAAAGAAAATTAATGATTCATTTGTTGAATTTATGAATATCATTACCACAGTATTCCATACAGTGTATGCTATCCACTAAACCTGAACTTTAGCATGCGTTTTTGCTTTGTGTATTTATATTTCCTTAATTGTTTATGATGGTTCAGGGGACTGACTATTTCATCGCTACAGCTACAAAGGTGCACGCTTTTTCACAGGCTTATGCTTAATGTTTTGTTCCCAAGAAACAACAATAATGTACGCTATAATGATATTAATAAAAATGAATTCTCAACGTTAAGAAAGTTTCTACGTTGTCATTTCTGAAAGTATGTTTTGTAAATGTGTCATAATTTTAAAATAATTGTTGACACATTTTTCCTTGTTATCCATTTATAATGCAATTATCAAATAGCTCCTTAGTAAAGTTAAAAAACAAATTTGTCTCTATTGGTTCCCTGTAAGTATTTTCATTGATACAGAATAATGACACAGTGATTTGTGTGCTGTAATCTAAAGCTTACCACATTTATATTAGGCCCCAGTTTGTGCCTTTCATGTAATCATTTGTTTTTACATTTGAGATTTTTGCATTGATGCCTTGACAGCTCTGAGTTGAGGTTTTCTCAGAGATAAATCCAAGCCAAGAAACCACCACTTGCTGTTTGACAAGACTTAATGATATTTTGAAGGCGCGTCCAGAATCCTTAAAGACGCTTGTGATTTGAAAAATATTCCTCCGGCTGCAACAGTCAAGTGGATTTCTAACCTGTTTCATGTGCATCTTTATTTCCTCAACAAAACAAACAGGGAGGCTTTTTTCGTAGGAGCAGAGTCGGGGCGTCGCTGAGGATTCTTCACAAACGCAGTAACTCCCGTCAAACGAGCTGCGGGGTTTTTCAAAGTTCGTCATGTAGCTTTAATCTGTGACTCAAATGTAGCTATCAGTGCAGCACTTACCCGAGAGATGCAGTTGGTCAAAACATTTTTCTTTGAAAGCTCTCATCGCTTTTGTGTTACTTGTGCTGAATCTTTATCGTTGTATTTGAGTTTGCGTTTCAGCAAGTGGCGTTTTTTTTCCCCCTGTTTTCTGCACCTGCAAACCACCCAGCTTTATCCAAAACAAATTGGAAACATAAAAGGCATCACTTCCTGTGAACCCATTTTTTTTTTCCTCGTCACACAGACTTGTGAATATAAAAGCTTTTGATTAACTGCCTGTGGAAAGACTCACGTCGTGCTGAAAACAGCAAAACTGTCTTTTATTACAAGTAAATGTCATGAATCAGTATTTTAAATTGACTGATCTACATTCCTTTAAAAAAAAAAAAAAAAAACAAGACATAGCAAGACACCGAATATTCAAAAAAAGGGGCTTTGATTAATAGTGCAGCCATACCAGCTGAAATGTCCTTAGGCTACATAATTAACCTCTACCGCACCAGCTGACCTTGTTCCTCAGCCAGAGGGAGAAAAGTGCATTACACCTTTTCTTGTGGGATGAAAGATCAAATCAAACCTTCTCAAATGAAATAACTGAATTTAAACCTCAATATTTTGTTCCCAGACGTACAAGGTAAAGTAGTTCTTCCTTTTAAATGTTTACAGCATGTTTCCGGTAGGTCCCTGCATCTATTCCAAATCAGTTTTACCTCTGTTGTGATTCAGTGTTGTGTTTCCTGCCTCTTCCATCTGTCACCTCCTCCATAGCAAGTCAAACATAATGGATCATTTTAAATTGGCCTGATGGAGAGTCATTTCCTGCTCATCATATCATCATAACACGTTGCGGACAACATTTGCAAATTTGTCTCCAATCTCCGGCGCAGAATTTCTACTTTTTGATGATTTATTCGTTGGATCTAGTTGCCATGAAATCATTTGAAGTAAATGCCGTCATGCAATAAAGCCTGTGATAATTAAAATGTGACACACACTCGATTTTCAAAATCCAGCTTTTTCTCCTGCGTAAGTCCTTTCTGTCACTCCGGCTTATTAGCACTTGATGATTACTTGTTAGCTTTGGATTAAACAGCAGCTGACGGAGACGCTGAGCCTTTAGAAAGCACAAACACAAAGCTCTAACATCTACTCGTAGGTGACGTCTGTGTCTCTTTTTTGAAATTAGTTGGAGGGATAAAAGTGTGGCGAAATATGAGTGGTGTAAAAATTCCATGTTAATGAGGATGTGATTGAAATTAAACAATCATCTACACTCTAAATAAAAGAGGAGCCTGTATTATGCAAATGACGGAAGCATTCACGCTTTTCAATGCCTTGAAGGGGCTTTTGTGATGTACAGGAGACAGTCACACAAAGAGGGGGGAAAACCAAAGGAGAGAAATTTCAAACTGGTGCGGCTTCACTGTCACTGAAGGCTTCCTTTTCAATGGCTCTACAATCAATCCTGACCCTTTTCAGTTTTCAGAGTTTCTCCCTGTTTTATTCCAACTCAGTCGAAAACTACTGGTGATATTTATGGATATACAACAGAGCACTACAACTCACATTTGTGAGGCCACCGAGCTCATAAGTCTCGAGCTTCTCCGCAGAGAATAAATTAGAGGGGAGGGGTTTTTTTTTTTTTTTTTTTTTTTTTTGAGGGCTAAGGGTAGATTTCCTGGTACAGAACGTCCTGAAACGTACTCAAATATTGACTCAACTGTCCTCAAACAACCAGAATAACACACTGGAATTGAGTAGCAGTGGCCTGTAATAGTCTGAAGCACATTATCTTGAATAAATTATGTCCCAGATTAGATTAGATTACATTAGTGAAACTGTAATGATTCCCCATGAGGAGGCTGGGTCATCAGAGCGGCAGGAAACTGGCAGGAGGAAAACAGTGAGTCAGTGAGCTGACAGCGGCTAAAACAAGTTAATGTAGTATTGTTTTTTCTTGTTTGTTTGTGTTTGTTTGTGTTCACAGAGCATTAAGACTGCGGGTACAGGTGAGCGTTTTGGGAGTGGGAGGCACCTTGGTCTGGAATTTCTTCTTCCTGTCTGGCAGTAGGTAGATCTTCACGTACGGGTCAGAGAAGCCGTTGGCGTCCTTCGCTGGCAGGTCCAAAGCTTTCAGGATCTTCACCACCAACTGCTCCGTGCTGAGACACAAACACACACATATATACAGCAAACTCTATTAGACGTTCACATGCTCATACAAAAGGCTGGGGGGGGGGGCCCAGACAGGATCAACCCACACTCACAAGCACCTGTGCAGGCTTTATACACACATAATGGCGGGGGTGGTTCTGGGTCTCTGGAGGAAGGAATAGCCAAAATAGTATGTGTGTGTGTGTGTGTGTGTGTGTGTGTGTGTGTGTGTGTGTGTGTGTGTATGTGTGTGCGTCATCCCTGCAGCTGTATCATGGCTGCACTATCAGCGATGTTACATGTAAGCACAGATGTACAGCCAGTGATACAGAATGTGGCTAAAGCTGAGCTCATTAATAATCCTTAACACGGGACCCCACAGAGCTGTTAATGCAGAAGAATAGAGCTGAGAGGACTGATGAACTGCCGAGTCAATCAACAGAAAATTAATCAAGGACAATTTTATACTATTTTATCATCAATCAATCACTTGACTCATTTTACAGGGACAAATGTTTAAAACGGAGTGATTTCATGTTGTCAGATGTGAGTGTTTGCAGCTTCTAGATGACAGTCAGCTGAACAGATTTGGGTTTCAATTAAACAAGAAAGAAAGAAGACAAGAAAAATAGAAATAACAAGATTAAAGATGAATCAATAATGAAAATAATGCAATGTTACACAAGATATAAATAACAAATCCACCAAAAAACATTGAGCATTGGGCTATTGGGATATTTCTTGTACATTTTAATCAGTACTGCAAAGTATAGCTAAAGAAGTGGTTTCCAAACTGGGGGTCAGGACCCCCACAAGGGTCATGAGATGAATCTAAAGGATGACCAAATGATTGGTCATTGGTATAAAATAGTACAAATAAAAGACTGCAACACAAAATTATTATTATTATTATCAATATAATATTATATTAAATATTTTTTTATCTTTAAATATAAAGTTTGACATCTTAATGAAATACAACCTGTGGGGTCACAGGTTCAACATAACAACATAAAACCTAAACAGATTATAATGAAGTCTTTTTGTTTCATTTCATGAACGTACAGTACAAATAATATATGTTCTATTTTTTCCTTATCGTAAAATCTGAAATCCAGCCGTAAATAAAAACCTGGCCCCAACATCAAAATTTAAAATATTTTAAAACAAAAGTTTGGATGTGGCTCTGAAATTAAACAACTACTAGATCTAAGTAATTAAAGGGCTGCAACCAATAAACGATTAATCTGCTGATTATTTTCTTAATTAATTACCAAATAAATCATTTGGCCCTTAAAATGTAAATAATGGTTTCCTTGAATCCAAGGTGACATCCTTGAATACCTTGTTTTGTCCAATCAAAAGTCCGAAATCCAAAGACATTTAGTTTACTGTTGTATAACAGAGAGAAAATCAAGGTTATCACATTTTTCTTTGTTAGAACCACTGGATGTTTCTGGTATTTTCAATTAAAAAATGACTCAAACAATTAATCAGTTATTTACAGTGATGATAAACTCATCAGTTATATCAATACAGAGTATTTTATGTGGCCTTTTTGAAGAGTTTTCATGTGTTGTGGCGTGACGGCTGTTTGACCAATAAGAATCAAACACGCAAACGAGAAGAATATTACATCGAACACTTGATTTGTATTTTATGGAATATTTTTTTCCTCAAGATAAATAAATACAAGTACAAAATGAGGAAAATCAACAGCATTATTGGCCGTTAAAGCAACAAAGCAAGCAGATACACACTCTGCAGCGGGGCTGTAAGTCTTTCTTTGTCACGCACACAACATTCAAGGATAAACACACACTTGAGCAAGCGGACACACACATCTTACACACATACATCCGAACACTCCATCCACACTCGTGGCTGCGTCTCACGCACCGTTTATTATGTATTTAATTACCAGATGAAGATGAAGACGGCTCGGAGGCCTTTAATCAGACCTCGTTAGACTGTGTCTCCCTGTGTTAACCAGTGTGTCAGCACTTCATTAGCTGCTTTAGGAGAGCAGCATGAACTTTGGGGCTGAGGAGGGATCAGCAGGGCAAAAGCCGGCAGTGACCCTGGCGGTTATAATGTCTTCTGTCCATCTCTACCAATCACAAATAAGATATGCTGGTTGACAAATACAACCGCGGCCAATCGGGACACGTGTTTACCTCTGCATCATATCCAATTAAGGCAATTGGATAAACATGCCCACTCTGCAATCACATCAAATCAGGGAGATAATACACAGAGTGAACTGCTGCAGGAAATTACATTTACAGCTCAGCCAGATAAATATTTTAACGAGAAAACCCTGACCAATTCAAATATGTATCTAATGATCATTTAATCCAGTATGAATTTGTGACATGCTGCTGGTAGAGAGTCTGCAGTCACCTAGATTAACCAGTGTGGTTCATGGCAGTGCTCAGATGTGCAATAATTGGAAACGACAGGAAGCTTGTGCACAAAAAAAAAAACAAACAAAAAAAAAACCCACCTCTCCCTGATTGTCATGAATTTTCCTGCATCTGTTGTCTGTTACAAAAACACATTTGCAGATTCTCCTGCACTCACGTGTCTTTTTACAGAACAAGACATGAGCCCGAACCGAAACCAAGGTTTTATACACAATCCCCGAGGCGTGCTGCAGAGCATATACCTATTACCGCTCGAGCAGAGAGCGAGAATTCACGGCCTTATTCCTGGCAGACAAAGCCCCGAAAGCTAGCTGCTACTCCCACAGTGGGAATGTGTCAACTTTTAATGGGATTGTCAATGGAAATGGCTTTCCCAGAGGATCTGAGGAAGATTGACATTGTTGTTCTGACTGTTACACTCCAAACAGCAGGGGTGTAACACATTAACATACCAATCTTATCTCAGTTCCAACACTAACACACCTGTATGCGTGTGTCTCTGCACACGTGCCCACACACTCGGCGGCAGCTACATCTATTACCTTTCCTCTTTATCCCTCAGTCACTCCCTCTGTCCTGCTCCTCTCACTAAAACCGTTTCCCTCCATGACAGGCAGCTACAGCACGACGTAAATTATCTCATGACTTTACAAATGGGGGAAAAGGGGCACATGAATAGTTTTCATCATTAACTTCCCTCTCCATCCAACTCCCTTGCTAATTCCCTGTATCTGTAACTCTCCGGCTGTAGCGCAGTCTGGTGTTATTATGTGGTGACAGAGGCTGCTGTTTAAAGTGGCTCACCATATATAATTCATGACTCAAACGGCCTCTCGCTCCCTTTATTTTCTGACCATCAGCACTTTCGCCTGTTGTAATGTTTCTACATGTCAGGGCAGGCAGAAACGGGGGGGGGGGGGGGGGGGGGGTTTTACACTGCAGCTGAAGCACAGACGGCGGGCTGCACACTCATCCCCACAACCCACAACCACCCCAAAACTTACAGCCGGCACACAAATTCACATACACACTCTCACAAGCCAGCCCTCACAGCGTGGCACCCACCAATTACGTACTTAGACCCAAATTCTCCAGCAGAGAATATTTAACGGAGAATTGTCAAAGGAGCAAAATTAAAGTAACTACAGCAATCTGTGCCACGCAGTACATAAAAGACACAGACACTGCTTTGTCATTTACATTTAATAGTACCACTTTCTCATTTTTAAACATTAATATTTCAGTATCATCATCACAAACAAACAGGACCACCGTTGAGCCACATCTCAGGCTGTCACTGTGTTAAGTGGTGTTTTTCAGAATGAGGGTAAATCCAACGCTCACTGTTACAAAACTCAATTTTCTACTTGAGGTTTTCTTTTTATGTCTACTGAGGAGGATAAACACGCTGAAAGATATTTTCCCACGAAGCACCTTCTGTCTGTTCAGTGCCATAAAGAAATGCAGCAAACCAGCGTCGGCTCGCACCCCTCTGACTTAAGTGTTTGAAGAACTTTACACCCACCGCCACCATCAAAGTGGTGCAAAAACGGAAACATTGACATTCACCGGAGACATGCAAAACTATAGTGGAGTGGTTGGATTCAGGTTTAAAATTCTCCGTACAGTGCACTGCTGTCACAAGAAGCTGCAGAATGCAGAATGCTCTTTTAGACACACCAGAAAATATCTGGTTCTTTGATAACAACTTGAAGGTACATAAAAGTGTCCATAAAAACTCAGAGGTAGATTTTAACTACGGTTGTTTACATTCTGGGTCATTCCTGGGTGACTTTTACAACTTAGCGCTGCGTTTTCTCCTCAACTGTAACAACAAAGTGTTTTGAATTGGCTCTGATTCATGCCACTTCGCCATGGCAACAGCGGTCAAAGTTCATGTATGGTATTATCTAGACCATTCTCCCAAACCAACCAAAATTACGCACAAAATGTGATTTAATAGAAACAAAGCTGAAATAATTCAAACTGGCTGTCACTTTATAAAACTATAGGGTGGCTACATTATCTCTGAGAGTCCCGTGTTTCTGTGTTCAGTAACATTGAGGACGAAACACTTCTGGAACCAGTGGGCGGTTAGCATGCAGCGTGGCTGTAGACTCTTTGTTTTGTGTTTCATAGTCAGTTAAAGTTAAAGTTGATGACATTTCTCCTGGTTTTAACTGAACTAAATGAAAACAGTATGATGTCCGGTACAGTGTTTTTACATTGTGGTGGCTTGTGGCGACATTTTAGACTTTTAAAAATGTGAGTAAAACATTGTTTTTTGTGAATCCACCTCTACATTGAAAAAAAACATTTTAGAAGAGTTTTGTGTTTTTGCACTATTTTCATCAAACCAGGACGTGTGCAGTTTTCCAGTCAGACAAGTCCATGGGGCTCCACACAGACGCTGCAGCACCTTTAGGCCAACCTGGTGGTGATGTAACGGCCTCATTTTTCTTTTTTTACAGATGAACTTTATAACTTAAAATTATTTCTGGCAATGATTTATTAATGTTAAAATTCTCCTTTTTACATAAGAGGGCACTGACAGAGCCAGCAGGTTGTTTCGGTCTAAAACTTACTTGAAGGCGTAGCGCAGGAGGAAGCTGATCTTGCCGCAGTTGTCACCCTGTTTGCCTTCACCCTGGTCGCCCTTGGGTCTGTAGAGCTCTGGTTTGATCTGCCCAATGCTGGTTACCTGCTCCTTCTCCTCACCATGGAAATCAGGACTGGAGAGCTGGTGAGTCATGGGCTTGGGCCTAAACAGACACGTAAGAGCTCAGAGGGTGACTATTAAGTGAAGAGCACAGCGCGCACACTCACACACGCACACACACTCACACACACATATAGTCCGCTATACAGCAGCTTAATCAGAGAAGCAGTGGCGGGTAAACCATCCAAATGTGTTTAACCACTGTCACACCTCCGTGCACTGTAGTGTTATCTAATTAAGGCTAGTTGTATGATGATGGTGCTTCTGTACAAACCACAAAAAACACAACTTAACAACAACAAAATAGCAAAATATGTTGCATGAGTCTCAGAGAAAAATCTGATAATATTGGCCTCAAAAAAGAGTTGTTGTTTGAGACTAGACTGACATGGAGAGGTGCAAAAAGTGTTCATTAGAGGGAAGCAAGATTAAAGCCAACATGGTTTTTACCAGAGTGCTCACAAAAACAACTTTTTATCAGGTACAGGCTTCTTTTATGTAATTTTCGATGATGCCTTTTTACTTTAATGATCACGAGCTGTAGGTTTTTACTCACCATGACATCTCTGAGTTTCACAACAACAACCCACAACCCGAAACTAACAAACACACACACACATTCAGCAGCACACTGATACACTCACCGTGAGGTGACCTGCTGCTGGGAATGAGCGTTGGGCAGGTCTTTTTGGGGATGGGCTCCACCCTCTGAGTTGGGGACGTCTGGAGACGTCTGACTCAGCTTCAGAGTTCCTAACAGCGGAAGAACACGGACAAAGCAATCTGTTTCATTAGCGCTGCTGTGGCTGTGGAGTCGGCCATTACAGTGTCTCTAACAGCAACGTGTATGTCTTCCTGCAAAGCATCGATCTCATTGATTGTATCGCATTGATTTAACAGACAGTGATTTAACAGCAGAGAGAAGGGAAGAAGTGATCAGACATATTTACAACAGCAGAACATGAGCCAGCATGAAAAGCCAACAGCACAGAGACGCAAAACAGCCGCACATCCAGCTCCAATAAAGACAGCCAGCAAACATTTGACTGTGAATTATGACAAACAACCTGCGCTGGAGTTGACAGCCAGCATAAATACATCAACACAATGAAAGCTCATAGCTGCTGCTGCTGGAGCTGACATCAGTTTAAAACATTGTTGTATTGTGAAAATTGCTTCTTGTTCTAATTACTGCTTATTGTGGTTGTTGTTGAGCTTAAGTGGACGATTCCAGTCACGCCGCCATCACGAAGGAGCTCATAAAAGTATATTTTTTTAATGTATTTTTGAGAAGGCTAGAATTAAAAATTATTCTATTTATTATTCAATCTGCATGTTTTTTTGATGATTAATTATTTGGTCAATAAAACATCAGAAAACAATGGAAAATGCCAATTATGTTATCAAATGTCTTTTCAAATGCCAAATGTCCCAGATGTCATATGGATCCACAACCCCAAAATATTAAACCCATCAGCATGCGAGACAAAGAAAAGCAGACACTTCTCAGGGCTTTGAGAAGCCGTAATGGTCAGATGGTATTTGTTCTTGAAAAATGACTTAAAACAAACATTCTGCCGATCAACTAATGCAAGTCTGACTTAGTGTAATGTGTACGGGTTCTTTCGTAGTAACAAACCCACACAGAATTATGGGCCAGCTCTGCAGCTTTAGCGAGCTTTTGAGCTCATTGTCATGGCACATTTACTGTTTGGTTCAGTTTCACTGCTCACATCAACCTTGTTTCCAGCAGCAGCAGCAGCAGGCAGCCGTTTTCTGCAAACAAGCTCTGATAAAACTAACTGGTGAAGAAAGCTGAACATTTAGCAGCTAACGATTTTCTCAGAGACCAAAACAAAGCGAAAAAGAAATCGAACAGTGGAGTTATATTCATCAGGTGGCCAGAAACATGACTCCGGAGCTCTGCCGGTTGCAAACATGTTATCCGTAACAGCCTTATAAGGCGATTATAGAACAGTCTGTGTGTCTGTTTGCTGCAGCGTACTGCCAAAAATTGATTTATGCAGCTTTAAGGAATAAACAAATTAATCCTTTAATGAAAATGTAGGCGATATTTGTTGTAATTAAAACTTCAACTCAAAGAGGCAGTGTAACTTTTTTTTTTTCTCTAAATTTTACCACTGTATAACTAAGTGTCTGTAATAAGAGACTCGGCCAGTGAGATGAAAAAGTAATATTCCTTGAATGTAGCTCCACTGAAAGAAAACCCATTTATATGTAGAATAATGGTCAGAATTCATCACACTAGTGCAGTACAGATAAATTATTTTCCCTGTATGTAGGTAAATGTATTAAATTGAGTACTGAGAGTATATTAAAATGAGAAGTTATTGACCATGGCATTACATTACTCTTACAGTCAGACTGGGATTAAGAGTCTAATGTCTGTGAGCTCGCGCCCTCTCTCACCAGCGTTGTTGGGGTAGGAGTCCATGTCCAGGTAGGAGTGCTCCTGGGTCTCATGCGGCCCCCCAGCCACACCTCCCACCTCCCCCCTCTCCAGCCCAACCAGCTCAGAGAAGTGGGGGTGGTGCTGGCCCTGCTGCCCTAGCGTGGGGTACAGCGAGGACGAGGAGTGGCCCTCCTTCCTCTGCAGCAGCGGGGGCAAGAGCGACGGGCCCCCGGTGCCTCCGAGGCTTCCGACGCCAGCGCTACCGGGCAGCAACCCCGACGTCAGGCTCAGGCCTCCGCCCTCCTTGTCTCGCCATGGCAGCCAGCAGAGCTTCCACGACACGAAGAGGGAGACGGAGAGGAGGACGATGCCGCAGAATGTCACGATGACCGACAGCAGGCTGACAGAGATCTCTACAGAGGATGAAGGTAAAGAAAGAAAACATAGAAAAGCTTAATCCTGAAGGGGACATTAATGTGTGTACTAAAGGTCAAGGTAATCCATCCATTAAGCATTGATACATTTCACTAAAAAACACAAATGTGAACCTCATGTTGGCACTACAGGACGAAGTGAGCCGATCACCAAAATCAGTAGGGTTCATTCTCTGAGAAACATGAATGACTGTACAAAATTTCATGGCAATCCATCCAGCTGGACAAAAGTGGTGGAGCGATCCACCAGCCAACAGAACCATACTCCCATTCACAGTGCCATGCTGCTATCGCAGCTAAAAAACAACAACCTAATGATATGTATTCACACATTAACACATTTTACATATGCCTAACAAATCAGCTGTAAACCACTGGATGATCAACAGTCCATACACCCCCGTCACACACAGACCGTCACCAGCATCACCACAGCATCTACAAATCACACATCACGGAGCAGGAAAGGGAACCCGCTGAAGGCATCAATTGATATGCAGCCGTCCCCTGAAGCTCATATCCTACATTCGAATCCAGAGCTTAAAATGGGGGCAAACGTTGGCGGAGAGGATATTCTTACGGGAGGAGAGGAGGCGAAGCGGCGGGTTGGGGTGGGATTGAGGAGGGAGGGGGTGGTGGTTCAGCAAACAATTAAAAAAAAAAAAACACCAACACCCACAGTGATGTCTCTATGCAATGTCATCCCACATTTCCTCATGGCTATGAGCTTTTTAATCTGTGACGGCTCAAGGATTGTGTCTGAGGGTTGGTGGGGGTGTGGGGGTGTGGGGGTGGTGGGGATGTGGGTGTGTTAGCGAGGGTGGAGTATGACTCATCCGATTGAAAAAGAAAAAATTGCACAGAGTAAAAGAAAAGCGCCGTTTCAGCACCCAGACTGCTGGACAGTTCCAGCAACAGCCTCCATCAAAGAGGAGCAGCAATGAAAGAGAGTCGACATCAGCTCCAGAGCTCAGCCACTTTTGTAGTTCTTTTATGGTTTCAAAGGGCACAACTGCACGTGTCGGAGACTATTATACGTAAATTCATGATGAATTTTTAAATGTGTAAATACCCTATAAATATTCCATGAATGCTTATAAATAAATAGACTAAATATACAATGAATATTTATAATTATCTTGAACCATTTGAAGTCTTTTTTTTTAAATAGCATCTTTTGGGTCTGATAACTGTCTTCACAAAAGGACCAATCAGAGCCCTCAATGGCCCACAGCCCTGAACATGAATATTCATAGTTTGTAAGTAGACCAAGAAGACTCATTACGATACAATGTGCTGATTTTCGTATACGCTTTTGTGTACGCTCCAGACCAGGGGGACACCAATTAACAAGTCTTCCTATATGTGGGCTGGCCAATCATCACCTTCGTGTAGAACAGCGCTGTCTTACCATCGGGGGATAACGTTTCCCGAACCCCCACCACTACCACCACACGCTTGTACCGTCCCACACAAAGGCCTCCTTTTCTTTTAACCCCTTTTCCTTCAATTCAGAGCGTCTCTATGGGCATGACAAAGACATAAGCACTGTTAAATCACACAAAAGAGAATGAAATTTTATCTGTAACAGGCTGACAACAAGACTGAGAGCAAATGAGTGAAAACAAGACAACAGCAGCCAATCCTCCAGCCCTGGGGTGCATCCTCTGGAATTCAGTTCGCTTCTGTCTCCGCCCGCCCTCCCTCTCTTTCTCTTTCACTCTCTCCTCTATATAATCCCCTCAAACACCCCTCATTCCTCGCTGTCATCTCTTCTCCCATGCTGTCTGCCTCTGCACACTCTGACTTTATTCCTCTCCTCAGCGACTGTCTCTTTGTTCGTCACCCCTACCTTCTCTTCGTCTCCCCCATTTCTCTGCCTCCCTTTCCTCGCTCTCTCTTTGGTGAATTATTCATCAGCCTGTGTATGTCATTAATCAGCACTTGTTCAAAAGATATGATTGGGGGAAGGCGAGCTGGCGGGGTGGGGGGTGGGCGCGGGGACATCGATCTGTCGCGGTGGAGAACAAGACCGGGTGGGAAGTGAGGAACAAGGGAGGGAATAAGGAAGAGCGAGCGAAGCAAGATAGTACATGATGATGGAGATCAGGAGGCGAGAGGAGGGGAAAAGAGGGCAAAGGAAGGTAGGACAAGGTAGGAAAAAAATCAAGAAAAAGAGGACCGCTGTGATGAAGGAGAATGGAGAGAAAGAAAAAAACGATCGAAACCACAGGATGGCCAGCAGAGCCGGGAAAGACAGAGGGAGAGGCCTGAAAACGGATTGGCGCCCATGTTGGAACAGACATATAAGCTGACTGGGTTTATTCCCCCTTTCAGTTTCCTCAGAGGAGGAGGAGGAAGGGAGGAGGATTGATAAAGTCGATGCAACTACCACGGCATGTGTGAAAGAGTTGACAGTGATTTAGAGCGAAACCTAAAGCGGGGAGGGGTTTAAGGATGAGAAAGGTTAATGTATTGATCTGGAGGGGGAAAAACAAAGCGAGGAGGCAGAGGAGTACGAGTGTGTGTGGCTGGCAGATCAGGGTGCACTGATAAGACGTGGCTGTGATCAAACGTGCACAGGGACTGTCGGAGGCCAAACCGATCACCTCCATTTGTCTCTCTTTAGGGCAGTCGCTGTGCCTTCCCAAGCACTGATCCTGTCAAAGATCCATCGCTAATCCACAAAGCATAAAAAGCAAGTCAGCGGGAGGGTAGGTGGGTGGTTTGGAGGCCTCTGAAGTGCGCCGTGAAGAGGGACCGAGATTCCCTGTCAATCAGCAGCTGATGCGGGCCCACTGGGAGTCATACATTGCTCCACATCAAACACATCTCCGCTGCTTACACAAGCCGTTCACTGACAGCTTGCGGCGGCCGTGGCCCCTCGGAGGGCACGGAGACTTCCGTCAGCAAACACCGAAAAATCACAGCTGGTAAGCGAAGGGGCCAACGCCTAAAACCATGGCGTGACATTTCTTCACAGAGCCATCCAAATCTCCAGAGGCAACACGCAGCCAATCCAGGCTAATCTACACTGAGCCATAGATATCCATGCTAATCTGCATAACAGCGCATTGCACTTCCAAATGCTTCAATGAGAACCCACACACAATACTCTGCACACAAAACACTCCACCGTGGAGCACGATGCACCTACTCAGTTTGGTAAAAAAAAAAAAAAAAAATCCAGCTCTGAGATAACAATCGCAGAATCCTACTGAGACTCTTTTGGGGCTCGTAAAAGAAATGGGATGGACTTGTACCGTAGCCATTTCAATCTAGCAGATGAATATTTCATGGTTTGTTGTTCTGAGTGCACAGCACTTCTAACCTGCTTTAAACATGAGCACTCTTCTTAACATTTACCTTCTCATACCTTGAAGTCTAACACACAGTACGCCATGTTCCCGTGCGACTCCACAAGTGATGCAGCAATACTGAAAATATTCTGTTGAAGCTTTTGATAGACATGCATTAGGGTTTTCCATTTAAGTATTTACGTAAAAGGGTGATTCAGATCATCATGGGATACTAAAAATCTTCAATGAAACATACAGACACCCAATATCATTTTAGCATCAAAGATTCGCCCCCTGTCTGCTCGAAAGGCATCTGTTTAGTTCATGGTTTCCTCTCTCACAGAGTAAAGCCAACTTAAGAAAAAAAAACAGGAAACAGCATCAAAACATACAGACCCGCCATGTCAGATTTTTTAGAATATTTAGCAATACATTGTAAAAATATTTAATAATATTGTGTATGAATGAATTAATGAATACACAATATGAATCCAGAGCAGAGTGGTTTATTCAGCGGGAGATGTTTCTGTGGACGTTGTCTATTGTGAGCCTGCTATTATCGGAGTGCATTCACACGGACATGGATCAAGATGACCGCAGCCTCTGTTCTGTGTGAAGGAGGAAACTACCAGCTTTTATAAGCCATCTTTCAGTCTACATGGGATGACCCTACTACAAGGGTAGATTTTGGATGAAGGGGCTATTTGTACGTTTTCTCCGTTGCTGATAGCAGTTTCTTGCCAGGAGCAGGTGGTGGTGATTGTCGATTGACAAGAGCTTCCACCATCATTGCATTTACAAGACAAGCGGTTATACGTAATACGCCCTCTGCAGCAGCACTAGCCTACTTCTTCAGGGCAGATTGGAGGCTACAGTGAGTCGCTATCGGAAGTGAATAATATTATAATATCGGAAAGTGACAAGACAGGTCGGGGCTAGCTGGTTAATGTGCTAACATGTTGTCGAAATCAAACAATCAAACATTTCTTCTAGACTGGGAGGTAAACAGCTGCTAATGCTAACACTGGCTACGTAGAATAGCAAAACTTGCAAATAGCTCCTTTAAGGCAGGTTGAGGCAGATTAATATGGGTTTTTACAAACTGTTGAATCATGTGACAACAAAATGTAAAAAAAAAGCTTCTTTTACACTTATGATATTTTAGTAAAAAAGTCAGCCGTGACATGTGTAGACATCATATAAGAAGCTCAGGGTGTGTCAGTTACCTGCGTCCAGCTGTCTGTTGCGACCTCTCAGCAGGTAGCTGAACTCCTGGCAGCGTTCGCTCTGGCTGTAACCTCTCGGGGAGTTGAAGCACAGCTCCTCCACCAGCACCAGCGCCTTCTTACACAGGTCTTCATCCCAGTCCCCCGACATCCTCCAATCCGCATCGCACTCTCACCAGCAGTCAGCCAATGACAGCGCAGCCCTCGCCGCCCTCACCTATCGGACGGCGCTCGGGTAAGTAGAGTGTTGACCCGTCCACCTTTTACAAGGTGTGAACTGAGAGGGAGCAGGCAGAGGAAGCTGAGAGGCCAGCAGCGATAAAGGAAGAACAAGAGGGGCTCTGCAGGGTGTCTTGGTCTGGATCACAGAGACCAGACTGACGCGCCCATGTGTGACTGAGCGACACCCACCCCTCTCACTTTCCCTGAAAGAGATAAAGGGAGAGAAATTGGCAGCATGAGTGTAAGGACATAAAAGTGTACAAATCAAGCTTTTGGCAGATTGGTCACCTTACCCATTAAGTGCAAACACTGATGCCAAAACCATCAGTGTGTACCCGATGGATCATTGGCTCCTGTGCTACATAACATCGCTTTAGCATAGTGATACAAGACAACTGGCATCAAGTAAGAGGTGAGAACATTCCATCTTGTTGCAGGCACATCCAAAAGTATCCTGATGTGTGAGGAAGTATGACAGGTGTTTGCTGAGGTTGGTCAAATTTACAGTAAAGGTTCAGTTCAACCAAGTTAGGAAAGAATCTGTTTTCCCACTTCCCTGTGAACCTGTGAGCCACCTGTCACTATCACAATCACTTTTTAACATTTGGTCGAAACCGGTTGACAGTGAGGTCTGTGGATTATGTAGCAGCAGGAAATTACTTCAGGCAGAGTACATTTTTGTTTTTACATTTTTGAAACCACAAATTCATTTCCATTCTTCTGTACAGGGTTGGCAGGGGAAGGCTCTTGGGTAAGCGAAGGCACCATACAGTCTTTGTGTGGGCAGAAGAATCAAACCAGTGAGTTAATGAGCCTTAAATGACCCCTCGAGGTGCAAATAATGAAGTCCTCTGAACTTAACTGAATCTAAAAGAAGAGTTAGGTGTTGATTCTTACTGGGTTCAGTTCTATGAGCCACTTTATGCTCTAAAATTAACACAGTTTTGAAATACAAGAGAGAAAACATACAATGAAATACTACTTTTGGGAAGTGGCGAAGCTGATGTAAATTAATGGTCCAGCCAAAATTGCATAATATATAGTGTCGCAAAAACAAACCTTCCTAAAACAATCATACTGAGTTAATAATTTATTTTCAAAATTCATGAATGTGCAAACTACATAATGAAAGCCGCAATTCACTTTCTATTACTTAAATGTCAGCCTTCTTACTTTGAATAATGCCAGATGAGTCAGTACTCACTCAACATGGTGCATACTTAATTGCACAGAGCTCTACTGTCAGTGATCTCCTGAGGATGATTTTGGTGTCTGAAACTGAACAATGGGTCAATCATCCTGAAACTTCATGTATTATGTAACACACTTATTACAACCTTCTGTAACAGAAATATATTGAAGGAGTGATGGAGACTAGCTGCTTTTTTTTCTTGGTAATGGTTTATCAGTACAACAACAACAAGTCGTACCAGCTACCTTATATTTAGCTTCACATTTTGCTTCTATTGTACTGAAGGAAAAATCCAAATTAAAGCATTTCATCATCTTTAATATTGTCATAAAGCCTTCATTTGTGTTTTACCTTTATTGGACTTGACTCTCGAGATTCTGGGCCATGGTGAATTTGCAAGCCGGAGCGGAGGCACTCCACGTGTAAAAGTTTTCTTTGCAAATGGATTTGGCTAAAGAATGCAGAGTTATGCCTGCAGTGCATGCATAACCTTTAGCTTGTTATTTTCCTAATGTTTCCAAGACCAGAAACTGCAGCCTGCAGACAAGTGGCTTCTTTTTTCTCTTGTCTACAAATTGGAAAGTTGAGCTCTTTGTCATCTAGCTCCAACAGGAAACGGTGGAAGGCGTCCGTGTCTGTGATCTCTCCAGCACATCAGCGTGGACTGGAAGGATTGTGGAGACTCTTTTTTTTGAAGCTCTCCAACATCACCTTAGCAAAAAAAAAAAAAAATCAATTGATCAATCAATGAGACACATGAAATACAAGTGCAGCAGAGACAAATAGCATCAAGAACACCAATCAAACAAATGTTTGGAGGGCTACAAAATCTCATAAAACATCAAACTGAGGTATAATTAGCTGAATTAAGTCTGACTGCATTATGTGCGTGCTCCTTGTCCTTTCATCCAAAAGAAACTAGACTTCTTTAGCATACTGTCTTTATTTTTGAACTCATTCTGTCTAAATAAAAGCAGGTCAATGCCCAAACTCCAGTTTCTCACAGTCTGTGAGGCTCCAGGGACTCTGACTGACGAAAATGTATGCAAAGTTGTGTCTAATAATACCGATCCAAACCCTGGTATTGAATATGTCTGGCGAGACATTTTGCACAAGCCCTTGTTCGGGTTGGGGGAAAAAAAAAATCACTGGAAAAACAATACTATTCATGGAGAGGGGGTCAAGCTCACTTTTCCACCGAGATGTTTTGTCCTTGTGAGGCGGTGGACCTATTTCTCAAGCAAGGTGCCTTGTCGGACAGGGGAAGGACTATTGATCATTTGATGTATGTTGTTCTGTGAAATGTCAAGCGTCAGTCTTTGTGCATTGAGTGGCACCTCCCTAGCAAAGTGCTCCTTATGTGTCCATCTGTCTTCCAGCCATCAGTCAATCACCACATTAGGCAAAGACATATTTCACTCAAGAACAAGATTGGAAACAAGAAAATGCCTCCTCTCCTTCTCGAGCTTTCTGTCTCTCTTCTTGAAGATAGAAACACACTTTTTCGCCTCTTGTTTGCCCTCTGTCTCTGTCTCTGTTCAGAAGCTGATTGTCACATTAGGATAGTGTGTCAGTCTAAAGTTAGAACTCAGATAACGTGGAGTCTATTTATCTGTCCATCACGGCGCAGCCTATTGCGGAAATGAATCCGAAATTAGCGAATCAAAACGCCATCCAGACCCAACATCCCACACGAGCCCTCCTTTTGCCCCCCCCCCCCGCTCCAGCATCACTCTCTCCCATTAAGATAGTAAATCTGTCTGAGTGACTTTAAAACCCAGGATATCTCAATCTGAGGAATGGCTGTCTGGCACAAAACTGGCCGCCTCAAATGCCAGTGAGAGCATCAGAAGGGAGGGAGAGGCGAAGAAGAAGAAATGGAGGAGACAGACAGACAGAAAGAACGATTGTGTGGCGACAGAGGAGGAGGGAGGCGGAGAGAGAGAGGGATAAGAGAGATGCTGACATTAAATTGGAGACGAGACAGATAAAGAGGGAGGGAAAAAAATTGGAGCAGAGAAGGGCAGAAAAAAAAAAACATAGGAAGCTGGCGGCGAGGGTGACACAGCAACAATGGTAATCAAGGGTTTGAGGACGCAATTTACTACAAGCAAAATATTTACAGAGGCTGGTTATTCACAGATAAATATGCCTTCAGAAACGTGTTGACGAATCATTCCACTCCGAAAGCGTCATGCCCAGAAACACACATTCTTACTATACTGTAGAGAGCAACACTAAACCTCCCACAGATGCTCCATTGACTGCTGCTCTGCCTGGGATCAATACTCTCAGGGAACGAATACGCCACAACATAGACCAGTCGACCAGTAAGGTCACTGTCCGATTGGGCAGAGGAGACAGGACGGCGTGCAAGGTCACAGTCTAATCACAGTACGGAGAGAGGAGAATCAGTGTACGCCGGTCCTGTCCAATCACACGACAGACAGAAGAGAGGGAAAAAAAGAGAAGGAAGTCTGTGCTCAATTATGAAAGAAGGCGGCCAGTCGGATCGTGAGCTAAATCTTGGGAAGGGGGGGAGGGGGGGGGGCAGTTGCACCAGAAACAAGGACCAGACAGCCACTGGATATAAACTAGAATTCATGTCAGATTGAGGCTGCAAGTTCAACCCCCTCCACTGGTGCCCTTGAGCAAGACACTGAGCCCCTGGCTGGCCCCTCCTGTTAATCACTTAGGATAAGAGCATCAGCTAAATGTCTCATTTTTAATGGCTCTGTCCAGCCGTTACATCTTCAACCTAGCTTATAGGCGATAAAGCAGATGAGGCGTTTATGTTTGTATCCCCTTATAATGAAGGGATCATTCTTGTATTTGCACAGGGCGGATTTGGAGCCGCCCTCAGGTGCACAGAGAGCGGGAGCAGAAAAAAAAAAAGAAAAAGTCCAGCAAATCCAATACAAATTAGAGTGAGGAAGCAGAACTCGCCACAGTACTCCTAGTTCTTACTGCCGAAGCATACACCAATAAATATTTATCTAATATCGAATGCACTCCCTCACTCTTTTTTTTGAGTAGTTGTACTGGATTTTTTATTTTTTTTGGCCCAGCACTCCTCGTACAAGAATTCCAGTGCTTTTCTCCCCGTTGCTGGGAAATTCCACCGAAGACAGCCAGCAACAAATAAAAATCCTCGAGCAGGGCGAATGTGAATTTGATAAAAGAAGAAAAAGAAAAAAAAAACCCAGGGGGTGTGTTTTTCAGTAACAAGGATCATGTTAGAGAGCGTGACTGAAATCTGAAATCTGTGTGTGGAATCTGTCTCTGAGGGATGAATCACACACCTCAGCTGGGTTTGGGAATTACAGTGATAAGGCCTTTGAAAAGCTGCTGTCTGCTGAATAAGAGGAAGACATTCAGATGCTTACAACAAACCTGTGATCTACTCCAAGCCCCTCATATCATCGTCTGGCATTTCATTCTCTGGCCAAATTGTATATTTACCTTTATATTGAATAAAGTAAATCACGTTCAAAGACAAATGGATCAAAATTATAGGTGAGGTTTTTTCTAGAATTTAATTTCAAGTTAACTGAACAATCGGGAAGGTTTATGATCACATCCTTATTCAGTTTTCTCTCTTTATTAACTTGGACTAATATGAATTAATGTTTATTGCTAGAATGTCTAATTATTTTTAAATGGAGAAACTGAACAACTTGATAATTGCAAAATTTAACAGAGAACAGTCAGAGTCTTTTTTGTGTGAGAACATAACGTTTCTGTAGACAAAGGAGACTAATCCATCGGATATACCTAATAGGATGTTTCAGGAGGATCTCATTGAACCTTCTTTCAAGTCGTCCTATCCACTGCCACGCTCTCTCTTTTGTTTTCATCTGTACCTGGAAGTCATCTTTAATTGCACCTCTCATTCTTGCCCTGAATGCTTCTGTTGTTGTCTTTTGTTTCAAAGTGCAAATGTGCTTAAGAGTTTAAGTAAATTTCACATGTCCCGTGTCTGCGTTTTTATGACATTAGCGGTATTCCCCTTTGAAAACATGTCGGTTCCTGCCGGCTGTACTCCACAGTCTGGTGACTTGGCCCTGTGACCTGCTCCTCTCTGTTCCAGACTTTGATGCTGTCTGCTCTGCTGTGCCCTGCTGGGCCATATCATGTTGTGTATCACCTCAAATCGATGTACTCATGTACCCTTAGATCATCCACTATTCGCCAGGACTGTCCCTGATTCATAGAGGTCATGACCTCGCTCCACCGGCGCTGGCATATCCTCCTTGCATCACTTCCTTTCGAGGCCACGGCGATGGTCTGCCCGAGACAATGCTATCATCACTCCTCTCTGCTCATTCGGCTGTGACGGATTGATGCATGGGGATAAACAGATAGGGCTACTACAACTCATCTTTTTGGTTACTCCAGTGGAGCAGTGCTGTGTTTCGCTGGGACAGAGACGGCGCCGTATGAGGCCAAGATTGAGCGTGGGGATATTAATGTCTATTGACTAGAGGTAATAGCTTTGTGGAGCCTCAGCCTCGAGGTTGTCCCAATTTAGCCTGTCCTATAATAGCTCCTGCACACCCTTTCAGCAAATAAATAACATGAGGTGGGAGTTAGTGGGCTTTAATATCTGCTTAAGACCATATATCACAATAAACATGCAATCAAACATACGCTAACATCCGAGCAGAAACTCTCTCCTACTGTTTCCACCTATTTCTGTCCCACATTTACACATATCAAAGGGTGCTGTCCGGGCTTTCACAGCTCTCTGCCACTCTGGGCCTGTTGGAGCTGGAAGTGTCTAAATTATCTATAACATGACACAGGAACTAGAGAGCATGTGGCCAGCCAGGAACCCTGGGATATTGGTGCTGCTCTTCCTGTCTCTTGCACAGCCAGTGGAGCTGCAGAGTGGGACCTATTTACAGACAGGGAGTGTAATCACACACACACACACACACACACACACACACACACACACAGACAACGGGCCGCCCTCACTTCATTTTTCACCTACTGCTATGTCAGAGTCGGTGAGTCAGTGTGTCTCAGTGGGTTTTCTTTTTCTTTTTTTTCTTTTGACCATTTGCATAAATATCGCTCTCTGTGGTGGGAAGCCAGAGCAACTGTGCCTTTGATGGTACGGGGCGGAGGGGGGTGGGGGAGCGGGGTGGGGTGGGATCGCCGGGGTGTGGGTGGAGGGGGGGAATTACGCACGGCTTACGCACGTCAACCTGTCTTCGGTGTGTTTTCTGCGTGCTCGTGCGCGCACCCCCACTGTCTGTTCGTCTCATATCTAATAGGGTTTGCATGGAGGAAGAAAAAAAAAAAGTTCAATCATCATCATCAGTGAGGATAGCTGCCATTGATACACTTGTTATACAGCTAGGAGCCTGTTATGTGTTACATAGGCTAGTACAGCCTACATCATAGCCTCATGGACTGCCTCCTCACTATATGCACCCCACTATAGGCTCGAAACATATCTACCGATGGTGGAATGCAATATGGAAGAGCCAGGGTGATGCACAAATAATATAGATTAAATATTAATGGAAAAACAGACACATGCTGCTAGATTTAGGGCATGTTCAGCAGAGCCCAGTGCGGGGTGCAGGATCAAAGCAGATATGATGAGAATAACGCACACATCGCAGATATCACAGAGCCCAATGCATGCTGGCTGCAGGAGCAACGGAAAAGGGGGGGATTTCTTCCTACCTTGGCGTTGCAGAAACCACTGTCTCTCTCTCTGTCCGATTTCCCGATTTACGAGCCTGTCCGCTGTTTTAGTCAGATGCGACGCTTGTAAAGGGGCATTCCGCCCTCTTTCGCTCTGTCCACCCCCCCACCTCTCGCTCTCTCTCTCTCTCTCTCTCTCTCTCTCTCTTTCCCTTCTCTCTCCAAGACGCACCGAGCAATAAGCCCCGCAACCGGGATGGCAGACTGAGAGGGAGAAATGAACAATATGATATCTCTCCCCTCCCCTCTTTACCCTCCCGTTTCCTGTGCTCTTCTCTTATATTTTTCCCCCCTCCTTGTGTTTTTCCTCCTCTCTGTTTCACTATCCCCTCCCTCTCACTCTCTCTGTCTCTCGGCTGCTCGCTCGCTCCCTCCTCTATTTTTCCTCCCTGTGCTCTGAATACTAATACTGTGTCTTTCCTATCACTGCCTCTACAGCCCGGCCAGTGCTAAAGACATACTGATGTATGTGGGGCGTGTGGAGGGATGGAGAGAGAGGGAGAGGTAGCGCGCGCGCGTGTGTGCGTGTGTGTGTGTGTGTATGCTTGTGTGTATTACTGGGAACCAGGGGGAGTGCGGGGATGGTGTGGAGGGTAATGGCCACTCTCAGCCTGGAGGGTAGGTGGGTGGGTTAGAAGGGCCCAGGATCTTGTTTGGTCTTATTAGAGCTGTGATTAGATAATAATACTCCTGCAGATGCCCTGGAGATGTGGTGGTGGTGGTGCTGCTGCTGTTGGGAGTGGAAAGGGGGGCACATAAAATGTTACTCCTTTTTATGGTAGCATCCCCGGGATGAGAGGAAGAGGAGGAGGAGGTCAGGACGGGGAAGGGGAAGAGGAAGGGGGAGTGTGAGGAGGAGGTGTTGCTTGGATGTCAGGCGGGTGGAGAGCTGAGATGGAATGGAGGGCCAATGTTGTTCGGCTCTGAGCCAAAAAAGGGACATGGCTCTTAGCCTGTTTGTACGGCGTGTGTGCTGATGATAGTGTGTTTGTGTGTGTGTGTGTGTGTGTGTACGTGTGTACGTGTATGTGTGTGCACCATGGAAACCTGAATGAGAAGAGCGGCGGAGGTATACAGAGGCCATGATCTAGTTAGAATGAAACACAGTCTTATTGGAGTCAAGATTAGATTAGGATATTCCTGCAGGCCTCATATAAGGAGGGAGGGGGCACAGAAAAACCTTTCTTTGTTTTATGGAAACATCGCCAAGGATAATGAGGACCCTCAATGGTCGGGCACAAATGGGTTTAGACATTGTATCAAAGTGGTTGTTTTTAAAGTGGTGTCCCTCAGGGCACCCTACCGGTTCCTTGTCCTATTCCCAAAGGGGAGTTGTCCAACAAAATGAGAAAAACTGTAATTCACTTACAATTGAATTAGTGGATTGAGCAGTGAGAGAATGTAACAGGGATGCAGTTTTGATGCCCAGATGTCAAATTATGAATCACATCACATCCATCAACAAAAATTTCATCAAATCTATCAGAGAGAAACAATCAGATGGTCTGCGGCCTGACGGGGAAGTAATCCTCCAAGTTAATGAGTTGAGAACGTGTGAACCCCTGCATTAGGGTTTCTACTCTGCCTGCTGCTGAGACTGTGCCAGCTTTAGCAGTTATGTAAGGCAAGTCATCCCTCTGCCCCTCAAGATTTTCATTGCATATGGGCCTGCTGCCATAATAAATTTACATGGGGAACAGTGTGTGCTTTTGATTCTTGTTCTCTGTGTGATGTATAGCCGAGGTTTTCAAGATCACCAATCACTGGTGGCGTTTCCCTCATTTCTTACTGTCACCGCGGATGTTTCTCCTTAAAACTACTTCATGTCCCTGTTGTTTCGCTGCTCAGAAAAAATTAGTCATTGGTCATGTTTGTAGTAAAACAGGAAACTTGAGCGTTATTCATTTTTGGTCAAACTGAGAGTGCTCCCACTGTGAGTTTTGTAGTCAAGATAGAGGCAGGCACCTTCATATTTAAAGACAGCACACTGATGAATTAATCATTCTCGCAGACTGTGCCCAAAAACCTAATGGGCCACGCAACACAGAGAACATCCAGGCCTTATTAAGAACTTTGGTATGGAAATTCAACATGGATTTGGCTCAGAAACTATTATAAATGCACACTTTAAAAGAATAGCTCTGATCAAACTGTTTTCTATTCATAAAAATGCTAATTACAGGCATCAGATGAGTTTGGCAAGTGGAGGGTGGGGTGAGGTGGGGGGAGGGGGGGTGAGTGGGGGCTCTTGAATTATCTTAGCTTAAGTGAATCCAAATTTGATCTTCTGCTTTTTAATGAAGAGCAAAGATCAAGACAAAGATTTAGAAAAATGTTTTGAATCCACAACGAAAGAGGGTCACATTAAGGGACCATTCAAGACTAATGTTCCTGTTGAGCAATTAGTGATCCACATTAGGTTTTATCACACTGACGAAATAATAAAATCTTGCCACTCCTGATATTTAACAATTCACCAAATGGACAAAATAATATCTTGAAAGTTCCTTTGTCTAATGATTTATTACACTGACCACATAATAATACATTCCTTGCCCCATTACTAATAACTTGTCACAATCACAAAAACTATAATATCTTGTCAGTCGTTGCATATTTCCCTGGGAAATTGAGCAAGAATGGGATTGTGGCAGGAAATAATATTAAATAGAAAACACGTTCTACATAGTTTTAATGAAGTAATACCGCATAATTATATGCCACTGTCTTTGCCATTGTTCTGGAAACAGTGATGGCAAAAGAAGGACGGAAAAATAGCTGTGTTTGGAACCCTGCGGCGAGCGATGATTGACTGATAAATGAGAGTAAACAGTGACCTCTGTTAGCTGTCACAGCAGAGCACGGAGAGCGGCTGAGTCACACAACAGAAGAGGGCAGGGATGGATAGTGAGGAAGCCAGGGTAGAGACAGAAGAAAGGAGAGGAGGGGAGAGGAGAGAGGGAAAGTTAAACAAATGGGATTGAGAGAAGAGAAACTAAAAGCTCAGCCGGGGGCAGCAGCTACTGTCAGCCCAGAGACCTTGTTTCCTATAAAACAAGCTCTAGCGTGACAGTATCTCCGTTATATGGGGCAAATTAATCAACCCTGACAAGTGCACAAAAAACACATTTAGGCACTTGTTTTCACACATACATACAACAAAGCACTGAGATTGCATGCATCTAACTATAACATCTACTACACACATGTGCCAACATATTACAGGAAGTAGACCAAGAGTTGCTGGAGGGGAGAGGAGCCCACAGAGAGAGAGACCATAGGTGTCAACTCGATAATGCAAAGTATGTCTGGTTTTAGGAAGACCGTGAAGAACAAAAGTCACAAAATGTATTAGAAGTTTATTTGTAAAATCTAAAAGAATGTAATGCGCCTGGGGGAGAATTCAGGGCCAGTGTTTCCCAATCATTTATCACATTGACCACATAATAACATATTTTCATGAGTCGTGAGTCATTTTCCACTTTGTCCCCAGAAATTCTGTTGATGAAAGCAGGCTGAGCGATTTCTGGTGACAAATGATATTACATATTTTGTTGTATCTTAATTGCCACAATGTCGACTTCATGCTGACGTCCAATAAGGATCTTGTGCACGTCCTGGAGTGGGCCTCAGGGTCTCACTGTTAGAGCCTCTTGTGTCCTGAACTTTCAGTTCTTTAACACTAAGCCATGGTCAACCAAAAGACAGAGGACGGACCAGGTTGCTTGTTGAGGTTAATAGTGGTACATTTGGGGACCCCTGCAGCGCTGCAACCAATGTCGCAAGCTAATATTACATCCATATTCTTCAAAACATGCTATTCCCTCTACTCTGAGACCAACCATTTCAGGAACAATGTCAACAGAGGAGGCTTTAGTGTCCCCAGTTTATCTTAAGGTCGACAGACATATTCCTGACTGATCAATATGATGTCTGTTGTTATCTCAAAGCAGTAGCGGTACGATGAATAATGCATCCTTGCTGACAAAGGTTGAGGTGAGCTAACTCCCTAAATCCAGGGCGACTCAAATGAACATCCACATACATCATATGTATTGGGTGACATCAGGCCAGGGACTCACTATTCTTTATTGCTCCATTACCTCACCTCAGCAGCTCAGTGGAGACAAGGTTCTGTTAGGTGGCACTGCTAGGCAAAAACTGCAGAATATTAAGCTTCCTTCAAAGGACTGCGTGTACTGGCTCTTTTGGAGGCGTGTGGACTTCTTTCTACTCGTCCGCTTAAGTACGTTGGTCTCTGCAACCCTGGTGTTAATCAGTTTATCGGTTTAAAAACCACTTAACTACATATAACAGTGACATAAAATTCTGCGCATAATTCCACAACCATCAACTGTATAACATGGAATAACTGTCAACCCAACACCAGTCAGGATCTTCACTTTAACAACTTGGTAGTTAGTGGCAGCTTTCAGCACATTGAGACCACTCAGCCAACTGCCCATACAGGTTAGATAGATTTCCATACTTTTCTGCTGCATTTGTTCTTACCTTTAAATCAGCCATGTTCCCAAACTCAAGACTATGACTCTCACCAGGAGAACAGGGGGGTGTCCCTCTTGGCAAGGCAAGACGGAGGAGAGACACACAGACATCATTTTCAAAGTAGTGCTTTTGTCTGTATGCTCCATCTTGTCTTGCCAAAGGGGACAAACAGGCAAAGTTGCCCATAGCTCACTAAGTTTTACTCTCTCAGCAGCACCAACAAAACAGGACATTGGTTGGATTTAACTTCTGCCAGACAACTCCTGTGGCAAAACAACAGAGCAGGCTGCTATCCAACAAGGAGAAGGTAGGAAAACTACGGTTTATTACAGCTTTATTTCATTTTCTTAACTCTGACCATTGATTCTATCAGTCATGATAACACCGTTCTGACCCAAGTAATGGCTTAGATATCCAAGCCAGGCAACATCTACACAAAATAGGTCCAAAAAGGTCAAGAAAAACAACAGTTATACAGGCTGTAAACAAGCCGACAGTCCGGCCAGATTAGCAGTGGCTGTCTTTACTTGTGCCTCTGCACTCTTGTCACAGCAACTCCCCCTCCTTCTGCA